CCATATGAGAAATAAATGTGAGTTTACTGGGTGTGTCAGACTCAGTACGTCCATTTACAATATGTACATTAAATAATTTACATAGGTCCAATAACTGTGTTCCGTATACGTTTATATCGGAATCATAGGATTCTCTGGGTACACTAAAAGAGTCAGTTTTATAATCATCTGGTAGAGGTAGGTATTCTGGGTTGTCATCAGTAATGAAGTCGTCCATATTACTTGTCCGAGCGTTGAAGTCGCCACTAAGTATAAATAGAGAAGCGTCACTAAAATCGTTATAAATTCTGGTGAGTTTTTTCTCAAGTCAATACTGTTTTCCTCTGCACCATTATAGAATGGTGATTTGTCAGGGTGTACATATACAAATCCAAGGAAAGTATGTTCAACAGTAGAGTCATTGAGAACTTTTAGGAACACACAGTTTTGCCACTTGTCATAGACTCTTATACATGATGATGCTAACTGTTTTTTAACACACACAACAATACCACCTGAATGTCTACCATACTTTGATAGCTTAATAGGATCACAGATAAAACATTTATAATCAGTAAACAGTGCATGTATATCAATTGCATCAATACACCAAGTCTCGATGAGACAAAATATGTCAAATTGTTTACAAAAGGTTTGAAAGTCTGGGAATGTTAGCTTTGAAAGTAAACCATGAACGTTCCATGTACAAATTTGTGTAAATGTGTTCTGTCTGCACGATCCATCATGTTTTACAGAGTAGTTGGGGCCTCGGCCATAATCCTATGTTGGAGATTCTGCAGAGTTGTTAGCTGACGTTTTCGGTTCTCCCAATGTTTACGCTGTCCAATTTGTTTAATGTCGTTCTTGTTTTCTTCGTATACATATACTGCACCATCTATGTTAAGTTTATCATAGTTCATATATGCAATCCTGCCATCTTCTCTTGCAGTTTTCATGAACGGGAACAGTTTGGAGCATATATTCCTCACCCTCCGTGAAATCCTCCGACACCCTAAATAGAGCATTACCTTTCAGGGTCTTCTTGGCGGTCTCGAGGATTTTACTCCTCTCCTTGAACAGAGTGAATTTCACAATCACCGGTCGCTTCCCAGTCTTCGAGTGAAGCCTGTGGGCTCGTTCTATTCCAACGGTATCAGCTGATTTATATGAAAGCTCATCTTGAAGAAATTGTCGAACTTTAACTTCTGTTTCATCCCAAGTTTCACCTATTTTGTCATCTAGTCCATGTATTAATAAATTGTTGCGTCTTGACTGTGCCTCCATGTTGTCCACCTTTTGTCCATAGCCTGTATCTGTGTCTTGAGATTTGCGTTCTCATCTTCGAGCGACGACAGTTTGTTATTGTAGTCAATTGTAAACAACTCCAGCTTCCGGTCAAGGGAGGTAAGTTGCGCCTGGATAGCCGACAGCGTTTTAGCGAGGTCGCCGAGTGTTAGTGCATCATCAGTTACCACCTCTCCTGGTATATATTTCGTCGAGAGCCGTGTTTGGATCTGAGTAGAGTCTGTGGCCTTTTAGGCGGACCTGGATTTGTTTCAACATCTCCTGCTATCGCCAGCAGCGTAAAAGACAGAATAGCGAGTCTCAGGCAAAGACGTATACCACCCGGCGTCCTTATAACGCGGTTTAATAGGGTGCCCTGTCTCACTCCTCGGGGAGAGAATGTTCCAATTCTCGCTCTCCATGTTTCAATGGATATAGACATGGTGCTTCCAAGGAAGTACACTACCTTATGCACAGCAGGGATTTGGTTTTCGAATAGAGTGCTACTTAGTTCACCTCGTTTTCAGCATTTAATCCGAGAGCGATTTCATGCGTGCCGCCATCATTGTCACGTGACCCAAGTTCAAATCCGCTTCCGTATTTCTTCCCTTAGTGTATCCATTTCTGATCTTCCAACTTAAGCAACATATTGTCGGGTCGGCTGGAAAACCATAGCCTGAGTGCTATCACCTGCCTTGGGTAGATGTTGAGGCTGGTTGGAAACTATTGTTTGGAAGATTGTTGTAACAGAACGGTAACCATAAACCTCTCCCATTTTGACTGAATTGATAGCTGCCTGGTGACTGATAGAGCGTCCAGCTCGTACATAGAAAGCTAATCTTTCTGGTAGGCCCTCTACAAATTTAGCCAAGATGTCCCTGTTAGAATTGTTTAATCTCCTTCCATTTTCCAAACTTTCTGAATGAAAAATTGATTTTGAGTACATCTGAGTTCTCTTCTGTCGGATATCTACACAAGACCTTACGATGATAAATAGCTGTTCCTCAGAAATATTGGACAGGTACCGGTGCATGTGGTACAAGGTGAGCTGTGAGTTGTGGTGACCATGGGATGGTAAATCTCCATTACAGAAATTCCTAGATTCACATCTGTAGTTTGCCGTCAATAATGCAGTCGGTTTCGTGTTGTAGACAGGGCCCAATTATTAATTCAGCTCGTGAAACTGGGTAGTTTTCCAGATGTTAGAACGTAGTTACGATAGACTTGAGACACGAATCCAAATCGCTGGATCGCGACATGCCCAATGCCATGGACACGATACAATGACGAGAATGTTCACATTTGAAACGACTTTTCCGAGTGTAACATTTACCTTTGCATCTCCACCATGTAGAATAGACGCCCTACAAACGTTTATCATTGTTTGGAGGATTTCTGGCCCTGCTGCAGGCCCGCTAGTTTGCTGACAAAAACAAGCAAAGCGTTGGTGTCGTTCGCCTTTTTAATCTTCGCAGACGTCACTCCTCTACTCACAAAGTCGTGACGTCACATTTTATGACGTCACCCACACAACTCACGTAAACAAACCTTGGAGTCTGTTGATTCGAATATATGACACTGCCTCTAACAGTCATCAGATGTTGTCATTGGAAGGATGCACAAACCGAAAAAGAGCAATCAAAATTGTAATAGGTAACTACCAAAGTCTGGTTGCACGTTTGTAGTTGTTCCCTCTGACAATACCACAAATAACATGACCATTACATGCAAGCAACACAACATTAAGTTTTGATGCTGCTGACTAGTGGCGTTTAAGGAATCAGTATACAGACGAATCTGTCAATACTATGAAGTGCCATCAACTTTTGCCTTCACTAAAACCTGACATGTCATTCCACTTTTGTAAAAGAAAGAGATACCACTGGTTCCAGTAAGGATATTACCTAATCCTTATCTCAGAGATAAATCATGATCCACGAAACACTCACCGATGGACTTTCTATATATTTAGTGAAGTGAAGTGACGTGAAATAAATATAATGAGGATTCTCGAAACTCTAATGGATTTGTCCGACTTTGTCTCAGAAAAAAACCCGTCTCAATCTCCTCTCCATTTCGTCCCAGATCTGCCGGATCTGGGGATTTAGCTACCCAGGGAAGGACGTTAACATTGTGCAGCGACAAGAGCTGCTGAACCACCCTGGCGACATGAGGTCTTCCTGTTGGAAGATCAATCCTGGTCAATTCTGATGGAGAAATGATATGGCGACAATATTAACAATTTCGTCTCTGTGCCTGAGACCCATTCAATTTCTATTCATGACAAGCAGAAGTGTACGTCCAGCACTCGTTATCCCACCCCAACCCATCACTCCACCGCCGCCAATACCGTCGGCGGCAAGGACACAGTTGCTAACAACGCTCACCACGTCGCCGGTAAACTCGGGTTCGGCCTTCAGCGTGGTGCAAGATGAATCTGAACTCGTCAGTGAAGAGAATGCGTCTCAACCCACGTGCTCTCCACCTCAGATGCTGTCTGCATCACTGCAGTCGTAGACGTTGGTGACATAATGTCAAAATTTGTCCTCTGGCAGGACGTCTAGCACGTATCCCGTGTGCAGCCAGACGCCGGCGAATGACCCTTGGCGATATCCTATTGACACCAGGAACTGTTCGGGTTGTCAGTGTGGCTGGTTGGAATCTTTGGCGCAGATGGGTGGTTCGAATCCAAAGATCGTTGCGTGGCGTTGTTACAGGTGGACGGCCACGTCGGGGACGGTCTGCAACGACGGTGTTTTATTGATAACGTCTCCACAAGCTGCATATGGTGTTCCTGTGCACGTTAAACTGCTGTGCAACGTTGCACTGGAGTATTCCTGTTTCAAGCATTCAAATGGCTCGCCATCTTGTATTTTCAGTTAGTCATGGCATAAAGAAATGCAAGCAGATCCTTCCAATTTGGTGGTTTTCGGACCCGTCGACGTCTAAACAACGGGTGACAAGGAGTCGAGGTTTAGAGCCACACTATTTCAAGGTCACGTTTTATACTTTATTTCCACGAACTTCTTGAAAGCACGGAAAACGCATTCAAAACAAAAACTACCCACAGAGCCCTGTATGGGTTATGGATTAAGTGTATTATAAAAAATAATAAATGCGTTATAATTTTTTTTCTCATTTTTATAAACAAATGTGTTGATCACAACTTTTCTTTTAGAATATAGATAGGAATATTTGCTCTGACTGAGAGGGTTAAAACAACGTAATTTATACATGGTTTCTTTAGAGTCCGTATTTGGTATGACATTATGACAGTGCCAATAACAATTTTATATGTTTGGTAAAATTTAATGCCGAAATTGTGAGTAGATTTATTGTGATTATTTGGTATTCCGACTTTCCACTGATAATCATTTGCTTCCTAACAGAGGATCTCACAGTATTTCTAATCGCCCTCTCGATATTTTTCGGCCTTTTAACTAGTCAGTTTCATTTTTGATGAACTGTGTCGACTCTGTTAGGTATACCGAAATAGACATCAGAAATGGAATAAACATGTTTTACACTAATACACCTGGCAACACCTGTTAATGAAATCCAACGAAATACGATTTATATTAGCACTTCCAGTATTTATTTGGTTTCATTATCAACTTATGAATAATGATATTCATACCGTTTGTAATCGAAACTTGCAGACCAAGACATAATGTCCACACCTATAATAAATTAACTATATACATGTCAGCAAGCTATGCTGAATGATGAATATTCCAGCTGTACCACATATCACTGGGTTAGCACGGAAAGGAAATGTTCTTTTTGTCAACTGAAAGGGAATATCCGCATGCTCGCCATAAGGACTCATTGTCTATCCAAACATGACAGAGAGTGAAATATTTCTTGATGATGTCCGTCCCAACGTTTCTCCAGAGAATAGAGAAAGAGGTTCCGTACCGACCAGAGAGGAATGGACCAGAAAGAGAGAGTACATATTGTCCCTCCTCGGATACGCAGTGGGACTAGGGTCTCTGTGGAGATTCCCATACCTGTGTAACAGAAATGGTGGTGGTCAGTATAAACAGTGTATTCAGACGTTTAATTACAGTGTACATGGACTCTATATATCTATGTGGAGACAAGCATCGCAACTCCAATGATTGTAACTACCACATAGCCATTTATATTTATATCCTAATAATATTTGTTTGTATGATTATTTTCACCCTTCAGGGACACCATACATTGATTCCGATATGCACATCCAAAGGCGAGCATCACGTGCATTATGTCGCCTTCAAGGAAGATGAGGGGTAGATCTCCAGTCCATCCTCCGAAGACATAATGTCCACACCTATAATACAATGGAATTGTCGATGACTGAGGACTAGTTTAACCGATTTACAGTTATTAGTCCAAGATTTAAAACCGTCAGCGTTTTGCTTACAAGAAACTTATCTGAAACAGACAGATAATTTTGACCTACGTCAGTTTAATGCGTATCATTCTTTGGACCCGGTTTGTAATTTTGACCTACGTCAGTTTAATGCGTATCATTCTTTTGCAATGAGCTTCCCTGAATCAAGGGAAGAGTCCTCGCCAAATCCTGTGTACCCTTGTGGCCATTTTGTAATAAATCGGTCAGCGATAGTGATGTCATACGTCAACCTTCACACATATTAGGCAATTTCTTTGAGGTGAAGGTCGGCTGAACAAGAGTTATCCTTCCGATTACACTGTCAGTATTATGATGTGTATTTTCGTATAGTTCAGACAATCGGTCATGAAACTGATTCTTGAGTATCTACATTTAGTTTTGTTCAATATCATATCATACGTGGATATAGGGTATACATACTATGTTGAAAGTTTTTGATTGTTTGATGACCTACTCAGACATTATTTTGTCCCATATCTGCTTCTTTTCGTCATTAGTAATGGAGTTATCAGTTTGCTGTTGAACACACTGATATGATCTTCATTATGCATAGGATGAGTGTGCACCTGCAATGCATCATGGATAATAATTATCATCATGGTTTAATGACGGGGCCCTTTATTAACTCATGGTGATAGAGCTTCTGGTGGATCATCAATCATGGGTGAGGAGCAATGTTATCCATAGCAGTGTTCCTCTTAAAACGAATCTTCAAGTTGTTGCAGTTCGACTTACATTACAGGTTGCTTTTACTTTGTGTTCTTTGTATATCCCACCTTCAACAGCTGTTCGACTTACGGATCTGCAAGATCTCTATGATCAATTACCTAAACCCTGTTTAATCGTGGGGGATTTAAATGGCCACAACCCACTCTGGGGTGGTACTAATACAAACGCCAAAGGTAAAATACTGGAGGAATTCATTTCAAATAATGACTTATGCATTTATAATGTCGGCACAAATACTTATTTACATCCTGGCACAGGAACCTATTCTGCTCTTGATTTATCTATTACTGACTCCAACCTATTGAGTGAATTCGAATGGTCAGTCCACGACGACCTTTGTGGGAGGGACAATTTCCCAACATTATTAAAACCCGTGATTCCATCTGATGTTCCTCCTTCATCAAGATGGAATTTTAAAAAAGCTAACTGGCCTTTATATGAAACTGTTTGTGCTGACAAAACTCAAACCTGAACTTTTTAATGATATTCCTGATGCCATAAAATGGCTTTCAGAGGAACTAAACAACATAGCTGACGAGTATATTCCAAAGTCCTCTTCAAATCCTCACATACGAAAACCATGGCTTACAGATGATTGCAAACAGGCTAGGAAGGCAAGGAAAAAAGGAGAAAATTATTTCCGTCGCCATCCTATGGTCCACAATTTAGACAAATTTAAAATTTTAAACGCTAAAGCACGACGTACTTTCAAGCAAAGAAAACGCCAATCTTGGCGGAACTATGTCTCAAAACTTAATTCACGCACTCCGATATCGAAGGTATGGAACATGATCCAGAAAATCCAGCATGTCCTGCTTGACTGTGTTGAATTCTCCATCATAAGGGATAAATATTTCAATATCAAAACTGTGAAGGACCTTTTTAATAATGTTAATTATCATTTAATCATTATTGATTTGTAAATGGAGACAGTTTTATAGTTGGTAGTTCAGATTATCAACTTAGATTGTTTGTGGCTGTATCCTCAAAGGGGGTTGAAGTAGCGTAAAATTATTGTCCTCCTGAGAGGGTACGTAAGTCCCAAAAACTTTCCAAGTCAGTTTTGCTCAACCATACTTTTTAATCGTAGTATTTTTGTGATTTTAATATTTTCCTACTATCGCCAGCGGCTGAAGGGATGGTGTAAATCCAACTAGGGTCCATGCAGGTAGCAAAAGTAATGTAAGTCCCCATGGTTCCTAGTATGGTGATCTACCTTCAGTTGTTGGCGATCTATAGCCCGTGTTTTAAATTGTATTGTCTTCTTTAATTGGAATGTTTTAGCTTTGCTCGCTAGTTTTATATTCATATCTGTGATTCTCTAGTATTTTTACTGTCCATCGTCGGCAGGTTTTAATCTTCAAAATGTTTTCACTTTTTATTGTATAAATTGTTTTCGTCACGATATGGCTGAGATATTGCCGATGTGACGTTAAATATTAACTCACTCACTCACTCATGATGAAAGCAAGGAATTCCACAGCTATTTTAAGCGTGCCAAAGTTGTTTGGACAGAATCTGAAATTTGATGTTGATTTTGTTGATGGCAATGTACTGCTGGACGGTACAGCGATGGGAGTAAACCAGGTGAAGTCCTTCACCAGTCTGCCCAGAGTCGGTCATTTGTGGAGAATCTTTCTGAGAAACCATTGCATCGTGTGTACATGCAGTGCGTGGAATAGAATAGTAATCCCACCGACTCCTGCACCTGGATGAAGTCGGCTGGTCTTAAATGTGAAACTGAGGGCTTTCTTTTTGTTGCTCATGACCAGTCACTTCCCACTCGTAATCGTCTAAATGTGACTCTTAGAGAAAATATTAATATGAAATGTCGACTTTGCAATGGAATAGGCCTACTATACAGCCTCAGAAGAATTCCTGCCAACAAACCTGATCTTGTCCTCTTTGATAAAGCCAATGAAGTTATTTATATCATTGAATTTTCTGTCCCTTTTGACAGCAACGTGATTGGCAAGAATCAGGAAAAGAATGCTAAATATGGGGACCTCACCTTTGAAATGCATCCCAAGTACACTGTCGTCAGACTCTCCATTGTTCTCGGTGCCGTTGGTTTGAACATCCCTTCTTACACTCTGGGTAATGCAGAAAGCTGCAGTGTTGGGGCGTCTACATATTCTCCGGAAAGTTCTTGGTGGGTTCGACTAGGCAGCGTTTCCTGGGGGAAGTCCAATTCGCTGTTTGTGGTGCGTGTAGAGGGGGCAAGGGTCATGAGTTGCTGATGAGCCTTACCAGCCTGACTGTGCCAGGATAACCCGAACCCTCTCTGCTGCATACTATCTTTAATCTGTAAAACATAATAATAAGTCCATTTGTATAGGGCCCTATATCCAATCACCAAGTGATTGCTCATGACGCTGACATATATACATATTTACAACAGGAGTTCATTTAGATGGCATAGTGCTTTTTGAACAGGAACGTTTTTTTAGTTAAACTGGAAGCTGGCTATTGAGGGGGATTTTTGAGAGACACATGCAGATTGTTCTAGAGGATAGCTGACAAGCAGGAAAAACGTCTGTGTCCGTATTTGGGACGGTGAGCAGCGACTGGTTGGCTGATCTCAGAGTGCTGGGAGGAACGTACTCTCTGACAAGACTAGAGAGATAGGATGGAGCTGCATTGTTAAGACATCTATAAGTCATGTTAAGTATCTTGCATTCTATCCTGGCTGGGAGTGGTAACCAGTGCAGACGCATGAGGATTGGGGAGATCTGGCTGTGCTTGGTGGTGCTGCAGATCAATCTGGCATCTGCATTTTGGAATTTTTGCAACCTAGAGAGCAGATCCTTGTTCACGTTCCCAAGCAAACTGTTACAGTAGTCCAACGGGACAACATCATAGATCTTACAAGATGGTGTGTTGCGTCAGTTGTTAATAGGTGACGTATGCTGGAGATATTCCTAGTGTGATGATAGCAGATTTTACATAAGTTACATGCTATGGCTAATGCTAACAAACGGGATACTGTGAAAAATATGGGGCGTTGCGATACTTTCCCTATGTGTATAAAATCAGTGTGTGTGTGTGTGTGTGTGTGTGTGTGTGTGTGTGTGTGTGTGTACACCCATATGCGTGCGTGTGTCTGTCTTTCTGTCTGTCTGTGTGCGTGCATGCGAGAGGCTGTGTTATATTATTAATGTACGTTAATTCGCCCAACTACTTTGATCTTGGATTTGTTGCTATTTAATGGTTTTGTTGTTATTTTAGAAATATGCAAAATATGCATACCTTCATTCGACTAACGCGGGAAAATATACATGTAAATTATGATGTTTAGTTTTTCGTTATGAAAGTTACACAGTCTGTGATCGAGTTGTAAGTACTTGCAGTATTTCAGACTATTATGCAAATGTTATTCAACACTAGACACATGATTTCATCCCCAACAAACTATACGTTTTCCAATTATAGTTTGCCGGTGTCAGATAATGCTAATAAAAAGTATACTTATGATTTAGAAATAGGAAAGAATCCATTTATATGCAGCATTATAATTAAACAATATGCTATGTTCGTTTAATGTAATGTGCCTTCCAATTAATACTTGCAATGAGCTCTTTATAAAAGGCTGGTGTCATGACGAATCGGGTTTTTTCAATGATTAATGCAGTTCTTACTTTATATAGTAAATTCATAAGTAGTTTTTTATCAATAGTCAACTTTAGTCAACAACAACTGTTATGTCTACACTTCACAACTTTTGAAACACAATCGACATTTACAAAATGTCTTGTGTGTTGTCATCATATTTTCTACATGTGGTTAACTTCGTTCTATACAGGTGCGTTTCTCATTCCATACTTCATTGGAATTATCACGTGCTCTGTCCCGCTATTTTTCTTGGAGATCACCATCAGCCAGTTTTCAAGTAGGAGTGCAGCCCACGTGTGGGTCCTCTGTCCTCTGTTTAAAGGTGAGTGCCACAGCTGCTTCGTTTCGGATATCATCATCTCAAACTAGCCTATCACTAACGTAGCGCAGTATTTCCATCGCTCATGAGAATAATTTCATTGGATGAGCAAATTTCGTGCTTTTTAAATCAGGCTATGATGTCGAGCAGGAAGGCGACGACAGATAATGAGCATATTAGACGTGTCTTAAATATGTTGAACCTTGAAAGGATATCATGATGCAGACAGTGATAAGCATGTTTTGTTTCAGGTATCGGCATCTCTCAGGTAATGGCCTCTTCGTTCGGGAGCGTGTTGTACAATGTCATAGTTTCCTGGTCCATATATTACATCTACAAGTCGTTCTCGTCAGTTTTGCCATGGACAACATGTGACAACTGGTGGAATACCCCCCTGTGTGTCAATAAACTTGGGAACGTTTCATCCATCAGCGTGAGCCAGGCCAACAGCACACATCTAGATGATGAACGCCTTCAGTACTCATCATGGAGAAAGGCAAATGTAACATTGACAGCGTCAGAAGAATTTTGGCAGTAAGAGAAATATTATAGTAGATATGTAAATAGTGTGAATACATCTGGAATGAATATGCGAAGGCATTTTTCTCTTTGACTTAGTTACCTAGTGCCCTCAGTGATTTTACCTTATTCCTTCATAACATGTTTTCACTGTGTTGCTTTGTAGTACTGATACAGCTACTCCGGAAGATAATCAAGGTTCACTCCACCTTTGATATTGTATATCATACATCTAACAACGTAACTAATATTTGTCCACACGCACACACGAATACGCACGCGCGCACACACACACACACACACACACACACATACATACACACTGTAAATGAAGTAAATACAGTTATTTATTGTTAGGGACATTTATTGTGGCAGATACGGCACACTGAGGGTGTCCAGTGGAATCAACAAGTTCGGGTCAGTGCAGGGTGATCTCCTTCTGTGCAACCTTGCTTCCTGGGTAGTAGTGTTTTTCTGTCTCATGAAAGGCGTCAAGTCTATGGGAAAGGTAAGAAGCTCCATTCAAGTTGCCGATGTCATCATCTGATCTTACCACGAGGATTGATATAGGTGTAACTGTAGGCCCGTGGGGACTACTGTTTCCAGTAGGGGATCAGGCATGTAATGACTTTAACGGAGATTTTAAAGTTGTACAATCTCAGGAAAGAGAAGCTGAACGTTTTTAGATCAACTTGGATCCAAACCACATAGTTTTCAGAACATCCGACATTTCCAGTGAAAGAATTGCTCTTTGGGTTAAATAGCAAAGTATGTTTAACAGCATACATGGGAACTAATGACACCGCCTCCCTTAAATATATAATGGTCGACTCGTCATGCTTGTCGTAACGCAAGTTTCTACAGTTCAGAATGTTTTCCATATCACGTGTCACCATTCCACCAATCACCATTGCCATCTACTCTTTGCTTTCGGTCATTGATTTGACTGATTGACTGATCGACTTTTTACAGGGCGACATGAATTAAACATAAATAGACATGTTTGACTACGCCACAAAACAACATTCGTTCACTTGCAATATCCGAAGATTTATTGGTGCAAGTTTCCTGCTGACTGGGTTCCGTCCTATTGCGCAACGTAGTACAATAACCAGACCAGAATTTTTAGACCTACTTATTCAACTGGATAAAGAAATATTAATCAGTATTATTTCATACATCTAATGACTTGTATATTGCAACACTACACTACTCCTTGCAAACACCTCGTGCAGCGTGCTCTGTCGTACAGCTGCTCTGGAAATCTAGAAATCGTGGAAGTCTCAAAACGAAGGCTCGGCAGCTAGAAAATTTTGGCGGTCTTGTACGGCCTTGATGTTATATCAATCACACTGAAATACACACAATAAGTACAAAGAACACATAACAGGTGTAACCAGTGAGCCAGAGGAATTGTGAATCATTTTACGACCTCATCAAAGAGGGGCAGACTCTGACGTCTTAGTTATCGTCATGCTGCCTAAACCTCGCCATGAAATATAGATATTTGTAAATACCATTGTCTTATGAAACAAGGAATTGGAATTTCCTGTAACCATAGTTGTTTGCAATGTCTCTTTTCACTTTCACACGAGAAAATTCGGATCGGCTGAAAAGTATGTCATTTTCTGCATGGATTCATGAGACTCATGTAATAAGTCCGGGTTGAGGGCTTGTCCTCACTTGACAGTTCCTGTCTATATTGGCAGGTGGTGTATGTGACTGCATTGATCCCGTACATCCTGCTGACGGTGCTGCTGATAAGGTCGTGCATGATGCCGGGAGCAGGGGAGGGAATTGTGTACTTCCTACGTCCTGACTTCTCACGACTAGCCTCCGTTCAGGTACACACAGAGAGAGAGATTGAGTGAGTGAGTTTATTTTACGCCGCACTCAGCAATATTCCAGCTATATGGCGACGGTCTGTTTATAATCGAATCTGGACCAGAGAACCAGTGATCAACAGAACGAGCATCGATCTGCGCAATTGGGAACCGATGATATGTGTCAACCAAGTCAACGAGGGTGTGTGTGTGTGTGTTATGTTACTGAGAGAATTACATATACTGATTATATCAGGTCATCACAGGTCTAATAGGGGGAGGGGGAGAGAGAAATGCATATACTTGCCACAGCTGTAATAATTAGAGTAGGGATTATAATGTTAATATGTAATCATTATATAGGGAGGGGGGAGAGAGAGAGAAATACATATGATACCAGGTGTCTCAGCTCTAATCATGACAACTAGGACCAGTGAGAGAGATAGACATAGACAGAGAGGGAGAAATGTAGACGATGCCAGCTGCTACAGCTGTAATGACTTTGTGAGAATCTGAGAGTCCTACAGTCTGATTACATGTTATTTCCATATGTTTCAAACAGTATTAATAACATTGCATTGTATAGGTGTGGTTGGAAACATTGCTGCAAGGTTTCTATTCAACGAGCGTTACGTACGGTGGACTCATCACCATGAGCAGTTACAACAACTTCAACAACAGACTCCTGAAGTAAATAGTAATACTTTACTTCTCAAATTGTTTGGGATGATGATAGTTTAAGTAAGACAAGTTTAGGTTCATGCACTGTATATGTAACTGACGTTGCACTGGTCATCTATCTTACAATCCATTTTAAAATTGGATTTGGCTTTTCAGGGTCAAGCTGAAGTGATCGATATTCCAACAACGAATGTTACAATAATGGCGAAGATGTAGATTTGTTGATCGATATCAGTAAATGCTAAATTAAATCCCCAATCAGTCTCCATTGTACGTCTCTGACTGTGTGATAACCGTGTGATATGATCACTATCAAATAGTGATGATGCAAACGGGTGGGTGTATCCTGCCCATGCTTTAAAAACACATGGCAAGGCGAGTCAATTGCCCACCTGAAACCACTCAGGAACATATGTCTGAAGTCAAATAAATAAAGGCAACCGCATCGGAGTCAGTGATAGAAATTACCTGCTCTTGTTTGTGTGTGGAGCCCAGTGGTTAGCATGCTGGCCTCTCACGCCCAAGGCCCAGGTTCGAATCCCGGTGGAGACACCAAAATTTGTGACCTGGGTCTCATACTGTGTTGTGCCCCTGGGCAAGGCACTTCGTCCACATTGCACTCAGTCCACCCAGCTGTTTAAAATGGGTACCTGAGAAGCGGATGTACGTAATTATACGGTCGCGCGGAGCGCTTAGTAGCTGCTTTGAAAGTACAATTCCGTTAGGGTAATAATGTAACGCCAGAGAACAGCATTGCGTTGCATCATAGGCGCAAAAAATTAGCATTAATATTATTATTATTATTATTATAACACGTTTTGATAGTTTTACTGAGGTCTCACGTATGTTTAATATAATGATGTGCTCTATACAAGTGGCCAAAACTCTAAGCAATATATGACACATGTTCGTTAACCTATTACCTTAATAATGATATACCTGTTTACTATATATATGCATTTTAACCTTAATACATTCTATTGTGATGTAAATATTTTTATGTTTTGTATTTCAGAGACTTGGTGATAGTTACTGTCGTTGGTCAAGCAAGTAGTATATTCTGTGGCCTCGTGGTCTTCTCCACTTTGGGCTTCATGGCGCACCAGGCGCAGATACCGATATCAGAGGTTGTATCATCCGGTAAATCTATTTGTTCCTTATTGGCCTATCCTCAGACAATTTCTCTGAGTGAGTGAGCTCAGTTTCCAAAATACCAGCAATAACATAGAAATGGGCTTCACACATTGTACCTATGTGGCAATTTCTTTGACAAGTAAGCACCCGTGAAGAGCCACCTCCTCGTGGAGCGCTCTTCGACACCCGCCCCCACCCCCCGTTGTGGACCCGGGGGTATATTTGGTCCACCAACACGTTTGACGTGGGTTGCGCCCCTGCGTCGGTGGAGGACGGGAGTCTGGTGGTTAAGGGCACTGGGAGCCTGGAACCGTGTGCCTTTTGCCCAACACATCACTTCGCCCCTTACTTTACCTAGACGGGTGGTAGAACTGGCCCGGTTCTATCAATCGGCTGGTCAAGCCAAGCCCTGTGCATAGCAAATAAGCGGAGACATCTTTCTTCTTCGTCTGATGAAGAGTTATCTTCCTTAGTGAATGAAATTTGAATACGAGGCCAAAATTCATAAAATGAAATTCAGCAATAACATGTCATACTTTGAGGCCAAACAACTAGTGAATGCACAGTTTCAACCTTCTACCGGTCTGACATATTCAGAAACAGGTTCATCTTCTGCTCCAACATCTGTTAATATATCTACAACAGTTTCAACTTCCTGTCAAACTGTGTTATCCTGGGTTAATGCAACTCAAATACACTTGGATGACAATAGTGCTATAACACAAGATTTTCAACGTTCTTCAGCCTCCCAGACTGTGGACACACAATCAGAAGATATAATTTCAACTCAGACAACAGAGAGGGTTGCCCACCTTTACAGTAAAGAAAAGAAAATAATGAAGAAAAAGATCAAAGCTCTTCAACATTTGGAAGAGTCTTCCATTTGAGCCACTGGACATGGAGATCACCCCTTCACGCACAGGGTGTAGGAATGGCGCTTCTACGCGCTCACGATCTCCAGTTAAACCTCCCTAAGCATTTTAATGAAATTAATACAATGGAATTGCAGAGGCCTTAAGAACAATTTTAACGATCTACAATCATTATCACAAGATTTTACACCATCGGCCTTTAGTCTACAAGAGACATACCTGAAAAGTACAGATAAATTTGACATGCGTCGATACAATTCATTTCATTCATTCTCACCTCCAGGTGCTAGAGCTACTCGCGGCGGTTCTATTCTCGTGAAGCAAGGATCTATTCGACCAGCTTGCCAAACCCTGTATCATAATGGGCGATCTTAACGGACATAACCCTTTGTGGGGAAGTACTGATACTAACAATAAAGGGAAAATCCTTGAAGCCTTCCTTTCTAATAATAATTTATGTATCTTCAATGATGGATCAGCCACATATTCACACCCCGGTTCTGTACTTATTCTGTACTGGATCTGTCTCTCACAGACCCAACTATTTATAACGAATTCGAATGGTCAGTCCACGATGACCTGTGTGGAAGTGACCATTTTCCCACAATTCTCTCAGCAATAAATCCGACTGATGACCCACCGGCAACAAGGTGGAATTTTGATAAGGCCAACTGGCCATTATTTCAGGCACTGTGTACTGACACCTTGAAATCTGACGTTTTTATCAATGCTCTAGATCCGATTCAGTTATTCTCTGATAAACTGAAAAATATAGCTGATGAAACTATACCTAAGTCCTCTGCAATTCCACATATTCGAAAAACAGGGTTCAATAATGACTGTAAACAGGCCAGAAAGTGTAGGAAAAAGCCGAACATTATTTTCGACGACATCCTACAGTCCATAATTTAGATAAATTACAAATTTTAAATGCCAGGGCTCGACGCACCTTTACACAGAATAAGTGTCAGTCTTGGAGAAACTACGTTTCCAAAATTAATTCTCGCACACCTATTTCAAAGTTGTGGAACATGATTCAACGAATAAAGGGCAAAGGGTCCAAATCTACTGTCCATCATCTGAAGGATGGTGCTAATTTTTTGACGGATAAGGCTGACATTGCCAATAAACTTGGTGAAACTTTCGCCAAGCATTGGTCTTCATCAAATTATGTCCCCGAGTTTAAGTTGCATCAGAAACAACAGGAGAAGAAAAGAATTAATTTTAACTCGGACAATGGTGAAGATTAGAACGAACTATTTTCACTACATGAGCTAAATACCGCACTTGAGCAAGCTCATGATACAGCAACAGGAGCTGATACTATTCACTATCAGCTCTTGAAACATTTACCTGAATCATCTTTGGAAACACTTCTAAATATCTTTGTTACCATATGGACTTCAGGGAACTTCCCAACTTCTTGGTGTAATGCCATTGTTGTCCCTATTCCAAAGACTGGCCGGGATCATATTGATCCGTCTAATTACAGACCAATCTCTTTAACGAGTTGTGTCTGTCAAACCATGGAACGAATGGTAAACAATAGATTAACTTGGTATCTTAAAAACCAATAACCTAATAACAAATATTCAATGTGGTTTCAGGAATAATCGTAGTACCATTGATCATTTGGTACGTTTAGAATCCTTTGTTAAGAATGCTCTAGTAAAGAAACAACATGCAGTATCGATATTCTTTGATCTTGAGAAAGCGTACGATACCACCTGGAAGCATGGCATTTTAAAGGGTTTACATGATTTTGGTTTAAGGGGTCGTTTACCTTTCTTTATATCACAGTTTTTAAGAGACAGGCAATTTCAAGTCCGAGTGGGTTCAACCCTGTCTGACCATTATAATCAGGATCAGGGTGTCCCACAAGGAAGTGTTTTGTCTGTCACACTGTTTAGCATTAAGATCAACAGTTTATCCTGGGTTTTAACTGATTCAATTGACGGATCACTATTTCTAAATGGTTCACCTATCCAAGTTATAAAAGAGGCTAAGTTTTTGGGTCTAATTTTCGATTCACATCTAACCTTTTTGCCGCATATTAAATCCCGTAAAGCTAAATGCCTGAAGGCACTTGATTTGTTAAAGGTTGTTTCTAATTCAAAGTGGGGAGGGGGATCAAACTACCCTCCTTCACTTATATAGATCATTGGTGCGATCGAAACTTGATTATGGCTCGATCGTATATAGCGGAGCTTGCAAAAGCAACCTTAAACTACTTGATTCTATCCACCACCAAGGTCTAAGACTTTGTCTTGGATCATTTAGAACTTCTCCAGTTGATAGTCTCTACGTCGAGGCAGATGAGACTTCTCTTAACAAACGCCGTATAAGATTATCTTTACAATATATTACCAAACTATATTCTAACGAATCTAACCCTGCATTTAACTGTATCTTTAATCCTCTTTATGAGGATTTGTATAACAAAAGGTCTTCTCTTGTTCCGCCTCTTGGGCACAGAATTAAACCATTCATTGCTGCTGCTGGAATTGAGCTGAAGAATATATCTCCTTCTCGTCTTCTTTCTTCTCCTCCTTGGCAATTAGTGAGGCCAGACGTTGGCTTAACATTAACCACATTTAAAAAAATCCGAAACTAATGATTTACAGTATAAACAAGAATTTAGTCAATTAAGAAATAAATATAATACATATAAATCCTTATTTACAGATGGGTCCAAGGATGGTGACGCGGTGGCTTGTGCCACTGTCATTGGATCCAGAACAATATCTTCTCGACGCCATATTAACAGCTCTTATATATATAAATAAACACCGTAAATATAAATAATACATCATCTTTTCTGATTCTCTTTCGTGTCTTCAGGCTATTAAATATCTTTCTTGTAAACATCCACTTTTATTAGAAATTATTGAATTGTATAATGATCTTGCTACTGGCCAATGCTACATCGTCTTTTGTTGGTTACCCAGCCACGGTGGCATTTCTGGGAACACAATGGCTGATCTTGCTGCCAAGGCAGCACTCAACAAATCTGTGACACCACTTCTTATTCCATACTCTGATTACAAAGCTAGCATTAGAACCTACATCCGTGATCTGATGCAAAAGAAGTGGGACAACCAGGTAGGTATTAATAAATTACTGGAAGTAAACCTTACATTGGTTAGACCTACTTGGGATGTCAGTCCAGATTTGAAGAGGTCATCATACGATGGTGTCGCATTGGCCACACAAGATATACACATGAATATTTGCTTAAAGGTGAAGATCCTCCGTTTTGCATCCCTTGTGATGAAAGAATCACGGTCAAGCATGTCTTGCTTGACTGTGTTGAATATTACAACACAAGGGATATCTATTTCAAATCACGAACTATGAAGGATCTTTTTAATAATATAAGTTCTCATTTAAATATTGCATTTTTATAAGAATTAGATTTGTTAAATAATTTGTAAATAGATACATATTTTATTATTGGTAGTTTAGAATAATAACTGAGATTGTTAGTGGATGTACCCTCAAAGGGGGTTGAAGTAGCTTAATATTATTGTCCTCCTGAGAGGGTACGTAAGTCCCAAAACTTTCAAAGGAAATTTAAATGTACCAGCTGTTTTAAATGTAGCATTGCTGTCATTTTAATTTTGGCTAAATTTGACTTCAATCGCCAGCGGCTGAAGTGATGATATAAATCCAGCTAGGGTACATGCAGGTAGCGAAAGTACTGTAAGTCCCCATGGTCCCTAGTATGGTGATCTACCTTCATTTGTTGGCGATCTATAACCAGTTTATATATTGTTTTGTCCAGATAGTGCTATCAGTTTTATCTTTCTATACTAGTTTTAATTCAAATTGTGATAATGTAGTTGTTTTACTGTTCTTCGGTGACAGGTTTTTATAATATACATATATTCCATTTCAATGTCAAATATGTTCTCGTCACGATCTGGCTGAAATATTGCCGATGTGACGTTAAATATTAACTCACTCACTCACTCATAATTGTCAAACATAAATGATTCGAGTTATTCACATTGAATTTAATTCTGCTTAGTCGACACCATACTCGTTTTGAATGGTTTCACCGATGTGGCTAAAGTCGAAGACCTGTTGCTCAACACCGAGCTGCCTGGTAATATAACTGTATTAATGCTCAAGTGACGCTAAACAGATTCACTCACACTAAGGATGCAGCGCTGGAGTGTTCGCTCGTAACGTCAAAGGCTCGTGTTCGATTTTCATCTGTGTGAGCCCCTGGTCTTGTGTTCCATGAGGTGCCTTAGTGGTTAAAGCGTCACGATTAAGACCCGGATAGATTCCCCATATGGCTACAATATGTTTATATTGTAAAAGCGGCGTAAAACTATACTCGTTCACAGTGTCCCATGTCGTGATATTGCTCGGATATTGCTAAATGCGTAAATCTTAACTCAAGCTCACAATTACACATAACTATAACACCTATTGGTTGCAGGTTCTGGTCTGGGGTTCATCATCTATCCAGAGGCCATCGCCCTGCTTCCTGTGCCCCAGTTGTGGGCAGTCCTGTTCTTCCTGATGCTCTTTGCGATGGGAATAGATTCTTTGGTAAATAATGTTAATAGTGACGATATATTTGAAGTGACGATTCGCTACGTTTATCTTCTGTTCAATGACGTTTCCATGCGAGATGGACACTCTACTGTTGAATCTTTGAGAAACATATATAAATGCCAGGTGCCACGTAAATAATGATCAAACAGTCATCACTGAATGAGAACGTTTTCTTAAAATTCCAGTCTAGGGACACAATAATCCACCTGTAGCATTATCAACCAAAGCATTTTCTGTGATATTGCGTCACGCAGCAATATTTCAGTCTCTTTGAGGGGCAGTAAGAAAGGGCTTCCTACATTATACCCATCAAAACAATTCTTTGGTTAATGACCAGGAAGGTAGCTCCTAGGTAAAAGATATAGCTAGTCATTCTTAGAAATGGTGTTCAACTGCCCGTGTCTGTCATAAGAGTCTATTAACAGGGTTGTCAGGCTCGCTGTCGCTGGACAAGGCAAAACATTGATTACACAACAGTCTCGTTTCCTGTTGACTGGGTCCCGTCCTATTGCGCAACTTAGTACAATATCCAGTCCAGAATTTTGGGACCAATTCATTTAACTGGATATATGATTATTCATCAGTATTATTTGATACATCTAAGTACTTGTATATTGCAACACTACGCTCCTTCTAATCCTTGCAAACACATCGTGCAGCGTGCTCTGTCGTACAGCGAGCCCTGACAAACAGAAACCGGGAAGTCGTGGAAATCTCAAACGAGGCTCTTCCGCAAGAAAGGTTTGGCGGTCTGGTACGGACTTGATATTTTATCAATCACTTTTTGCGTTACAAAACTAAAAAAAACCTCATAACAGGTGTAACCAGTGAGCCAGATGCATTATGAATCATTTTACGACCTAATCCAAAAGGGGCAGTCTGTGACGTCTTAGTTAAGGTCATGCAGCCTACACCTCGCCATAAAATATAGAAATACGATGTTATTAAAGTTTAAAATTAATTAAAAATTCATTTGTAAATACCATCTTCTTATGAAACAAGGAATTGGAATTCAGTCTAACCATAGTTGTTTGTGATGTCTATTTTCACTTTCACACGAGAAAATTCGGATCGGCTGAAAAGGTCATTGTCTTAATAGGTTAATGAGACTCATGTTTCGGTTTGGATACATGGCGTTTCGTAAACAACAACTACAAAAGGAGTCGGTTTGGTAGCCTGGTGGTTAAAGCGTTCGCTGGTCACGTCAAAGATCCGGGTTTGATTCCCCACATGGACAAAATGTGTGAAACCCATTTTGGTGTGCTTCGGTGTGATATCACAGTGATAACAACATTGCTAAAATCGGCTACCGCACTCACTCGCTCGCAAGAATGAATCGGATGGCCAGCCTCTGTGACGTGGTTGATTTCTTGACATCGCATCGTTTAATGAACGGAACTCGAATATTTACAGACCTTCCTTTCACGAAGCAACCTTTACTAAGGTTAACCTTAACTCCCATTCTTTAACATTGCACTAATGTTACCTTTGTGATTTACGATCACCTTAGTGTTTTGTGAAAGGAGGCCCTGTGTGGCATGAAAGAGCAGTAACGATTTACCATTACGACATTAAGACGAGACTAAAATAAGCCCCTTTTCCACCGCAGGTCACAGAGAGGTTGTTAAAATTATTTGCTTTTCGCGGGTCCATACAAACAGGTATTGACCGAATTTACCAGTCCATAATTATTTTATTATGTAATTACCGACAAAAAGCTTCTAAAATCAAAACCATGTCCATTTAGTGAAGAAAAGTAATTTTATTTTCACTACAAACCAATAACGTTATGTCAACAATATTGTGACATGTAAACAATCGAATGACGTCATAGCTTGACGCCCTTACATGAACAAAATCTATTTTAAGTAACTCAAGTCAAAATGAGTTTTGGTCGGACCTGGGTTGGAGTCAATATGCTTTTCTGTCGACGATCACGTGACCGCCTCTAGACCAATCAGGTAGCCGGAAATATATGCTTACATAATAATTGTAAATGTTGGATAATTACGTATTTGTCCATTGTCAATACTTGCCAGTGTTCCTCTCTCATCCGTGGGTACATACGTCCGATTTGCATTGGAATTGATTTTGTTAAATAATACTGAAACAAAATTAATTTTCTAAAGAAATCTCTGCTAACGCGATTGTAATATTCCCAATGTGTCATAAGCATACATTGGTATCAGGTAAACGTGATACTCGGTATTCATGAAACGGTGAGTGTAATGCATCGCCATTGCCACGTATCACAAACATGGGCAAAGTCAAGTCGCTTTTTCATCTGGAAAAAAAACACGGGTACATATGATGAATTTTATAATTGGTCATACACGTTCACTGTTGAGTCATTTTGAATGTTTTCAACCAGTGGATCAAGAGACTACAGGTTCTACTGTGCGACAACCAGCGCGTGCTCACACAGATGATTACAATACCGATCATCCATATCTTCTATTCACCATACCGTGTCAATTTTATGCGGAAATAGTTCACTTCTGGACTAAAAAAGATAAACGTCATCAGTGCACAAGCAGCCTGTATTTACTGACAATGGAAGATTTTCTTCTGGTATTATCATTAACACCATTTACTATATACCTGTAAACTTAGGACGTGGTCAAATTCCGTATTGCACCCCAGATTCCGTATTGAACCCCTGCCGGTTCTACTTTCTCCAAAGTTTTCCGGGATTCGATTTAAAAGTTGAATAGTTTGTTCGTTCCTTCATACATGTTTGTATGTATTAAAATATGAATAAATTTGATTAGAATGGTAAGTGTGAAAGTGGGACTTTATTGATGACGTCATGCGGAAGAATGTATGATTTAGGTCAGTTGCGTGATCCGCCCACGCGCGGAGTGATACTTAATGTCAAACTAACCTGAATGCGGAAGTATCGAGAGGCGTGAAAATATGTATCACTACGCTATGATTTGTTTTATTAAGTAACAGGTTAATGCACGATATGAGGGTATATGATAGATACAAAACAGCCAAACGTTCTAGTATGACGTTCTCTCTATATATATATTACTACTTTGTGAAACCACAAAAGTTCACTTTCTACTTTCAAAGTTTGGTGAAACGGAAACGACTATTGCTGGAATAACAGATTTGTGGACTCAGTATCTTCAAGGACGGAGAATGTGGGTCACGGCTGGGGTGTGTCTAGCCAGCTTCGTTGTGTCCATTCCCTTTGTAACTGAGGTACGTGCTGGCGAAACATCCCAAATATACATATGTTACATGGCGAAACATGTTTACGTAATTAGGTCTGTACACAGAACACATTTGACCTTCCCTTCAAAACATATCCTGGTGAATCCGATACAGGCTTAACGTTTTCGGGTAAAAGATAATCTAAACCTGTTTTTCACATGTTTATTATTCGCAAAGAACGACTACCGATGAAAACAGCTGGAACAGCCAAATGTAAGTATTACCAAAAACTCAGAATAATATCGTCTAACACATGTAATTATTACTCCCAGCTTACTTGTTATATGTGGGACGTGGCTAGTACTTATTAGACATGTTTGTATAGGATAATATCAGTGAGACAGTTAACTACGGTTATGACGCGTGTATAAGGAACTGATGCATGTGACGAACTGGTTTTTGTACGTATTTTAACTGGAGAATGGTCTTGGTTCTGGAATGAAGGCTGTACACAGGATCAATTCGATATGATGTTGGCAGGTGTGTGTGTGTGTGTGTGTGGTTGTGGTGGTGGGGGGGGTGTAGAAATCGTTACAAATAAAAGAATCCATTATTGATCAAATATGAACATGTCAGTTAACATTCCGTCACTGATATTACCATTGCCACAGGGTGGGATCTACCTCTTCCAGCTGTTGGACTGGTACACTTCCTCCTTCAGTGTACTTCTCATTGGCTGTCTCGAGTGTGTGGTCATCAACTGGATATATGGTGAGTGAGTGAGTGAGTATGGCTTTATGCCGATTTTAGTAATATTTAACCACGATAGGAAGCACCAAAAATGGGTCTCATGCAATATAATTGTCAATGGAATCAAACCCAGACATGACGAGCGAACACGTAACCAGTGGGCTATCTCACCGTCCCTGGATCTATGGTAACCCCACGTTGCACGACATAGCAAATGTCCTTATTACTATCTTATGCAAACGATGCAGGTGGCGTTTGCTTTTGGTGGAGCAGAACATGCTTACTCTTTTGGTGAACACGTGGTGTCATCACCGACTGGCGGTGATGTTTTTATGTTACTTTCAACACTACTGTACAGTTCTCTACCGTTGATATTACATACACGTTTACTGCTGAAATAGTGAGTGAGTGAGTTAATACTTAACGTCACATCGGCAATATTTCAGCCATATCGTGACGAGAACATTTGATATTGAAATGAAACACATGTACATTATAAAAACCTGTCGACGAAGGACAGTAAAACAACTAGATTATCACAATTAGAATTAAAACTAGCGTGAAAAGTTTAAAACTAATAGCACTATTGGGACAATACAATATAAAATCAGGCTATAGATCGCCAACAACAGAAGGTAGATCACCATACTAGGGTCCATGTACTGCTGAAATAAATATATACTCATAATATAGTCTCAATTGTACAATCGACTCTTATGAATGTGACAAAGGTTCTGTCGCTACTATTTATAATAAATTGACACAGTATGGCCAGGGTGTGTACATTTAGTATTACAATTAAGAACTGGAGAGCGGATGAACTAGTCGTTTGGTCATACCATGCATATCACAATATTATGATGACGGGCTTTGAACAGATTTAGACTGGATACCTTTTAAGCAGTCTACACTAAACTGGCAGTTTCCGCCCGAGTTATAATGCCTAGGACCGCACCGTTTCCTGGGATTCCCCAACATCAAACTTCTAGACCATGACATATACATTGTCTAGAGGGACGTTAACGTCATTCCAATCATTCATTTTGATGACATGTTTATAGTAGGTGTAAACGGGTTTCACCAACACACCCTTCAGTGTCACACCTTTAACGTCGATTTTATGTTTTTAAGGTTCAAGGAGACTCAGCAACGATATTGAGATGATGACGGGAAGGCGATTTCCACTGTTACTGAAGATCATGTCAACCTACTTGACGCCTTTCATTCTTTTCGTGAGTTCACACCCAAGACTTTATTATATGGACAATTGATGATAATGACTGAATGGAATGGCTGTAGACGGGGAGAAGTTAGTGTACACTCAAATATTGCGATAAACCGATGGCAAGTCCAAACACTATTCTCTTGTGAATAATCGGGTTGGAATTGATCATTAGCAAACCATGTTTGCCATAAGAGGCGACTATCGGGGTTAAGTGGTCATACCACATGCTGCAGTTACGACAGCTCATAATGTCAGTCACTTGATTGTTTGGTTGCCAGTCTTGGATATGATTCTGTCATATTGCTGAATTTATTTTCTGAACGCAACAGCAAGTAAATAAACCAGTAATGGTTGACATAGATACAAATCTAACCTCGACAAAACAATGTCAAAGTTATTATAACTCGCTGACATTCTTTGAAATTCGGACATTCCTATGTCTATATATACAAATATTCACACAGAGAGAGGGTGTGGTGTGAGAGCAAACATGTGATGGTAATATTTGTTTCCAGGCCTCCCTGACATGTTCCCTGTTTCTATATGACCCACCAAGCTATGGCGAGTACATCTACCCTGAATCTGCCAAAGTGATTGGTATAATGGTTGCTGTGGTGCTGACTCTGCCCATACCCGTCACATTGGTGTACCAAGTTGTAAAGGGGAGGGGGAGCTGTTTCGAGGTACGTTTGTTCGCATTGTGAAAAAGTAATTAAAGGGTCGGAAAATATATCATGAAATTAAAGAGTTGTACAATCAGTTCTAGTGCCGACTCATTAACGTGAGAATCCCTTCTTAATTGTGAGAACACTTACATCTAATTAATTGGCCAACAGAAGTGATGTATTATGATAAAACAGAAGTATGCCCTTTTACCAATAACGCCAAACCCAGGTCATATTAGACTCGCATGAATGCCCATCAATGGTCCAGAACAGATCAACATTTTCCTAGGAAACAATTTTTTGCAGCGTCTGAGATTTGCAAGCAGACCTTCGCCCCAGTGGGGACCAGCAGCAGCTGATGACATGAAGCGGTACACGGAACGTCATCCACAGTGCATTCTCCTGCACCTGGAACAAAAAGATCGCCATGGTGATTCACTTCATTGATGTTCTGGATGAATGTAATTCAAAAAGATATCTTTGCAACATATACAAACTTCATGGATAACGACTTCTTTACTTCGTGAGTGCGACGTTTTCGATACAGATTCCTGTACCGTTGTCAAATGGATATACATCAAATAATCGAATGTGTCTATGTAAATATGCTCAATGTAAAAGGCGCATAAGGTGGCGTTTAAATTTTTAAAGATATATAAGTGGCATTATTTACAAAGCTGTAAACAGTCGCCGAAATGACAGTGAAAACTATTTTAAATAATCATTTACTGTTCTCTGTATGTTAAATCACAATTATTGTTCAGAACTTGTTCAACACAACCTATTCCGAAGCGTCTGCACATTGAATGTATTTGATCTAAATGTATCTACATTTGAAGAATGATTATCTCTTGTTATACCTTTTACACATTGGTAACAATATTCGGTTATATGATGTTATTTCTTTTCACTGAATAAACATTCTCTTCGTACCATTTGTTTTGTTTTAAAAAAATATTCAAACAAAAATGTAGATGAAATCCCAATTGTGGATACCTTGGTCACTGGGGGTAAGTATATTGAATATTTTTTTAACTGTGATAAATCAAATATCCCAGAAACATTTAGTCAATTTTTGAAAAAGAGTGAAATATAAGTACTGAAATCACACGTTCTGTCCAAAAAACTAATATATACACTTATAAAAATGTTAAGCACCCTTAAATTCGTCGATCGTCAACAGACTGACTGACTGAGTTTGGTTTTACGCCGCTTTTAGCAATATTCCAGCAACATCACGGCGGGAGACACCAGAAATGGGCTTCACACATTGTACCCATGTGGGGATTCGAACCCGGGTCTTCGGCGTGACGAGCCAACGCATTAAACACTAGGCTACCCCACCGCCCCCGATTGTCAACAGAACTAAAAGTATGTTTTAGTTCAGCTTGTATATGATAATACGTATGGTACGAATTTATTGCAACCGTACTTGGTGGAAAGTGTCTCCGAAACATACCCTGTGGAGCATGTCCAAGAAGCAATCCCACGGATATTTCCTTTCACAAGTGCATTTGTTCACGTACCTCATGTCGGTATTTAATCTGCATGAGTTACAATGTTCGATCAGTTTTCTGCGCTGTGGAATGAAAAAGATTATCAGATGGCCAGAGATGGCATAATATTGGCATCCTTACCTCTGGGTATTTAAATATGAATTCAAAACAATTGGTGGGGAAATGAATGCCAACGTAACAGTTGCCAGTTGTTTGGTCAGAAAATACTGGGAAACGTTCTGGACGACCCAGCGTGACGTCAGATGGTGAAGACAGGTCGCTATTGAGGCTTAACCATTCACAAGCACTGTTCTGAAGCACCACTGTTTATCATTTCTCCTGGTCTCTACGAGAACAATCTGTACCAGGACAATCGCACAAGAAGAGCCTGGTACAACCCTAGAACAGTCATCAAACTCTCTGCCGATGAAAGCGGATTCCTTCTTCTTGTAACTGATGGACGCTTGAGAGTTTGGAAGCAGCGGAACATAACAAAACCACTTATAGTCCGTTTGGCTTAAAAGCGGACCGATGAATTGCAATCTAACTTGAAAACTAATAAACATAAAATACTCAATGAAACAATGATCATAATCAAAACGTCAGACCAACTCTATGAGGGTTTTTTTTTTTGCAGAATTTATGTCCTAAAAATAAAAAAGTTGTTTAACAAACTATCATTAAAATATTGACACAGTTCACTATTTGTTACGAGGGAGGAGTGCAGAGAAAGGGACAGCCAGGTGTGCGAGACAGGATGGAGACGGCACAGCACAGGTTAATGAATCAATAACTTTGTCGGCACTTGTGCACGTGCTTCTCTAATTTACTCACTTTAAAATTGCTCGAGTCTGATCTGATCTGTTCCAACACGTCCAACAAACCACGTTGGTGGTTAGTCACATTAAATTGTCGTCACGTGACCCCGCACACATGCAGAGGCAATTGTGGCTAGTCTTGGTGCAAAGTTGCTTCCAACTCATGCAGATTTTGAATAGGTGGCACACGCTCTTGTATCCGCCACCCGATAGAGTCTCAAATATACTCCAGCAAGTCAAGGTCGGGACTCATGGCAGCTTATGGAAGGTCAGTCACTGCATTATTCTGAATGAAAGTTGTCACTGCACGAGAACGATGTGGCCCAGCGTTGACATTCATGAATACGGAAAGAATTGATACATTTTTGGCGGAATTGACAGAGACGGCTAGCCAAATAGGAAAGTCAGATATGGACCTTATGAGCGCATTCGTTAGGAGACTGGATGGCAATACTATCAACATATATTGATTAAACAGCCACCTGTGCTGAATTAGGCAGTCTCATTTGCGCGACTGGCTAGATCGGACATCCCTCAAATCTGCAGACTGTACAAAGGTCATGCTAGCAATCGCTACTCAAAGATGACATATTACTGAAGTTTCAGCAAAACTCGCTCCGGTATCGCCACCGATCAATGCTCACAAGTCACGATATCATCAACGTCCCTAGTTCCCCAGACAATCCCCCAGGTATACAACTCGACCGTGGCAGACCCACTGCTCAATCAAAGGATAGCATTGAAGGACACAACATGGCCCGTGGAAAGCAGTGTTCCAGATGAGTATTTTGCTCATTCTGATAGGTGTCGCGCACCTAACACTCATGGGTAGAAATGTTGTATTGAAGTCACTACTACTTCCAAAGCTTAACCATTTGTTTAGTAGTATTCCTAGCCCCTCTAAAAAAAATAGTGGAAGATTTTCAAAAGAAGTGTTATCAATTCATTTGGAAGGGAAAAACTGACAAAATCCAAAGACATATTATATAATTACCACCTAAATATAGAGGTATCAGCGCTCCTGATGTAAAAACAGTTATTGCAGCACAAAAAAACTGAGTTGGATTAAGAGATTAATCTACAGCAATGTCATCTGACAAAGCTGGTTTCAGAATATATCATGGATTTGAATGTTCTTTATTCAGCAGATTCCTACTATATTACAGAGAAGATTACTCCAAGCATTCCAATAGGTTTTGGGAAGGAGGTACTCTCCCTATGGTCAACATATTTGTACTGTTGTGATAAGGGTGAAAACAGTGATGAAGAGATCATGTCACAATTTATTTGCTACAACAATGCTATTAGAACTTGGAGTGAAACTATTTATATACAGCAAAGGCATAAAAAGGGTGTAACATATTTTAGAGTGAGTGAGCGAGTTAAGATTTGAGCCATGAGCCATGACTAAAAACAAGTAATAACTTTAGAATAAATAAAGGTATATTTTAATAAACCTGCCAGCGAAGAACAGTAAAACCAGCTAGAATATCACAGATATGAATATAAAACTAGAATGCAACTCTAAAACAGCTAAATTACAGAAGACAATACAACATAAAAACAGGCTATATTGCCAAGAACTGAAGGTAGATCACCTCACCAGGGACCTCTAGGGAAGTGGCCTAGCATCCCAAACTAGTGGAGGGGTGCCTATTCTCTATAAATTGCCAACAACTGAAGGTAGTTCACCATACCAGGGACCATGGGGAACATATTTTAGAGACATAATCGATGATGATGGAAAAATATATGATTATAAAAAGTGTAAAAAGATATAGCATCAAAGCAGACATTTGACTTGTGAGGGAGTCAAGAAATCAGTGTCATCTTTTATACACCATCAACTCTTGTGTCAGTCAACAAGACTGTTCAGCATTTTATATGAATTTATTAGACCAAAAGTTTTAAAGTTCAAAGGGCTGTTGAAATGGGAGAAGATCATTTAAAAAACGAGTACAGTGACACAGAGTTGAGAATATTAATCTTATGACAAAAAGATGTACACAGAGAAGTGAACTAAGATGGTTTCAATTTAAAATCATTCATAATATACTGAGTACCAATAAGTTATTATCTTAGATGGGATACATTCAATCCCCAGCATGTTCTTTATGTAACGACCCACTTGAAACCATTGTATATGTTTTATATGCCTGTCAGAATGCAAAATCCATACGGAGACAACTATCAGAATGGCTTGCAAAATATACTGAAAGAAACATGAAGGAATTCAATGAAGAGAATATACTTTTTGGATTTAAGGGTATGAATGATAACCCTGTGAATACTATTATTATTATAACAAAATTTATGCTTTACAGATGTACTATTAAAAAAGTCAAACCAAATTTAAACCTTTACAACAAGAAATATATAGATACAATCAAACAACAACATGTACTGCATTATCAAACTGTAAACAAGCAAGCTTTTATGTCTTCTGGTCGACTCTACATATGCCATTCAGCGTATACTATGTCGATAACCCCCATGGCAACTCGGTAGGATGAGCACCTTTGGTTGTTTATAATCCAGACTCCACGCCAGCTCTTAACGCCTTCTTTATCCCCCATGGAATAGAGACGTCCGCTTCTTCACAGTACTTTATGTATGTTCGGGGTTATTCTTTAAGCAGTGGGGGTTTACCATATCGTAACCGTATCATATTTTATAGCTTTTTTATTGTGCTTATACAGGGCGACAAATGGGTTAGTTGGCCTGTGTTAGTGGTTGCAAAAATCATATGGAGACTGACTGACTGACTGAGTTTGGTTTTACGCCGCTTTTAGCAATATTCCAGCAACATCACGGCGGGGGACACCAGAAATGGGCTTCACACATTGTGCCCATGTGGGGATTCGAACCCGAGTCTTCGGCGTGACGAGCCAACGCTTAAACCACTAGTCTACCCCCACCGCCCCCCCATATGGAGACAACTTTCAGAATGGATTGCAAAATATATAAAACCCGTCTTTAGCAACCCATGCTTGTCGTTAAAGGCGACTAACGGGATCGGGTGGTCAGACTCGCTCACTTGGTAGACACGTCATCGTATCCCGTTTGCATAGATCAATGCTCATGTTGTTGATCACTGGGTTGTCTGGTCCAGACTCGATTATTTACAGACGGCCGCCATATATAGTTTGAACACTGCTGGGTGCGGCGTTAAACAACAAACAAATAACAAATCCAATATGGAATTATTCTACACATGTCCTCAGTAACCTTTACTGAGGCCTTGAATATTGAAACTCATATCAAACAACATTTCATCAAGAGGTCCGATGCTCGGTATGGTACTGGCAGAGGAGCAAGAGTCTGGACATTATTAACAGGAGTGTGGTGCTGGAACTTCACGGGTCACAGTCTTCATGAATCAGGGCTCCAAACTCACAATTAGCAGAACACGCTGTCTCCTTTATATTATTTGTATAGGATGTCTTCATTCATTTGGGTATCTCTATCTGCTTCCTTCATTCCCGTCAGTGGCATCAGCCTGACCCCTATGTCAGTCCGGTCATACAAGGGTCCCCAGTCTGGTGTTGGTTGGCTCGCCAGGCGCACACGCTGTAAAAGGGAGTGTTTAACCTGATCATTAACAGGACGTTCAGTTATACTGAATCAAACCCATTTTAAACTAACAAGTATTCTCTTTCACTGGAACTATGTAGGAGAGGAAAATGCTCCAGTTTCAAACAAAAACGTGTAGTAATCTTTATTTGAGCAATACTGCTAAACATGAAAGTGTAAGACAGACTGCATTATTAAATATACGTGGAGTGTGAGCATTCGATAAGGTATTACCATTGAACTGGGTGTCATGAAAGTGTGTTCAAACGTTGCAGTGAAACCTTTACCTGACAGATACTTCCTTTCTTCCTAAGACATTCATACACGAACATGACAGGTATTGGTACTGAAAACCCTACTGCCAAAAGAATTCCCATTATTTTGGCAATATCTGGATACAGGTACTCGCCATAGCTGGGAGGATCGTACCCAAACAAGGAAACGACGAGAGCAGCCTGCAAACCAAGAAATATAGACCATGGTGAGGTTGTACAAAGCGCTCTGAGCACTAAGGTGACTGGAACGCCCATACCATAAGACTCGCTACAGGCTAAGCGCTAAGTTGACAGTAACTACCACAACTTAACATAAGGCATACGACAAAGGACTAAGGTGACTGTAATTCCTATACCTTAATAAAGATTAACCACAGTCGTAGCGGTACGGTTGTTTTGTACAATAGTAGAATGGTACTACCGTGACAACAAACGTAATATATACGCACGTGCTGCTCTGTTAGATATGAGCCGATGTTAAAGCGTCAATAAATATCAAAGCCTCATAGTGAAGGTAAAGGCAACGCATCCTTAAGTGGAATATAAATGCCAAAACCAATTGTTTAGAACTGTGTATCACAAGCTGATTTACAGAACATATTTGCATCAATACTACAAAAGCATTCTACAATTGGTAGAAGGAGAAGATCTGAGGAGATCTGCATAATAATTTGTTCTCAGCAACCCATGCTTGTCGTAAGAGGCGCCTAGCGGGATTGGGTGGTCAGACTCGCTGACCGGGTTCATGCATGTCATTGCATTCCATTTGCAGAGACTGATGATCATGATGTCATTCACTGTATTGTCTGAATATTGCATCGTGTTGCATCAAATAACAATAACACATATGGCAGCTATAATCAACCAATATCAGCCATGATCAACCAACTATATTCTTTAGCCCAGACCCCAGTAATAGCCCCGTCATAAACCTCGAGTGTTGTGGAGTTAAACAACTGACGATCAAACATAAAGACTTGAACAAACCAATATGACGTACAAAGAGAATGACTGGGGTAACATATGACAACAGAAATCTCAGTACAGTTGGAGGACGACGGCCCAGCATCGTTTTGATATCCTTGCTGAACCTCTCAGAACCTGGAAAATACAAAGAGCACACGCAACGTGAAAGGTAGTGCTTTGATCTAAATATCATTTGTCTGTTTTACGACATAAATCTCTTGAACACCGGTAACTGAATCAAAACATGAGAAACTATTAATGGATAGTGATCAGATTCTATATATAGACACATCCTGTACAATGCATGTAACGTTAGATAACTGACCACGTCAGCCAATAACATAGAGGCAAGGAAGAAATGACCTTCACCTTCAATATCAGATATAACCTACAAGGACATTTCTTATTGAAAGCATATGCTATGTTACATACATTTATAGATAACTGATCCGCCAGTCCATGATACCGTAGGTGGGCGTTGCTATCTTAAACCCGAGTCTAAATGGTCCCAAAACATATTTATTCCTTGGGTTCATTTACCATAGATCCAGTAGATGACGACACATTCGAGACAGCCAGTCAGAAACGTATTGAAGGAAGAGGAGTACCAGTCGAGTAACTGGAAGAGGTACACTCCTCCCTGAAATGTTTAAGTTGCACATTTAGTGAACAACCAGCTCATTATTTGTTCGAAACAAACCAAAAATACTTTGAGCTCAAGAATATCAATTTGCTAATTTTCTTGCTGTAATGTAATAAATACCTTGAAAATAAAATTTTCATAAAGCATATTAAAACAAGTATTTTGTAGCCAAAAAATATTGAAATACTGGTATTCTGGAAACCACTGTGTGTTAATGAGTAGAGTTGTCATCGCGTGACCCTACGTCATAGTGGAGAGTTACTTGCAGTCGGTCGCTGCTTCAGTACGTTGTTTAGAAGCTTACAACAGTTTGCATTACCACACAATAACAACGCTGAAAATATGGAAGTGTTGTTCAGTGACCTTACACATATTCATCTATATCAGTATCAGTCTTTGGATAGTCAAAATACTCATTATAGCAGCGAGGTAGATCTACTGGGTGAAGACGATCAATAACGGAAAGATCAAGAGTCATCAGAAGATGACAAATTCCCCGGTCCTCACAAATTTGAAAGAACCAATCATCTGACCGTTACTTTAAGTCCAATTTGATGAGAGAATTTCTGTCTAATCTTTCCATCCGTATACAAAAGTAGTTATTGAGCTATGGAAACAAGAAACAAATTCATATTCTTAAAATTCCTAAATAGCAAAAAGCACCACTTTAGCCTTTGGTTAATGCATGAACCCGATTTGGATGAAAAGTGTCTCATGGTATTTGAGCGGTGTTCCAGGAACGAAATCCACCCCACCCCCGTTTGTGGCTTTGGGGTGAGTTTACCTGTACCTACAAGTTTAAGGTGCCTACAAGGTAACTAATCTTGTTAGGAAATATAAGGAACACGAATAATTCATTCACAACTGCCTTCAGAGTCTTTTGGATCACGCATATATTCGTCACGTTATAATTTATCGAAAATGTACGCCACATTCCTACTGTCTATCCCTAAAACAGCGTTTGTTCACACAATAGCCCGTGGGTCGTGGGGTTAGAACAGTTGTTAGTCGGCTTTGAGATAAGAATAAAGTCCGTTTATGACCTTTGTGGGTGTAAATGTAAAGATTGTTGACCATTTGACATATATTATACAATATAACCTCTTGAACCATATATGTTAGTTGTATATAGACTGCCTATAAAGAATACCATTATCCTAACTGATAGAACTCAAATAAATAAGCAAAAGATGTAGATGTATTCACATTTCATTAAAAACGCACTCGGTACTTGCTTGAGTAATTAAGGTTCACGATTTCAAAGTAATTTATAAAGATACTAATGACGTACTGGGAATCTCACAGTGTTTCTGTTTTCGGCAGAGGTGTCTTTATATTTTGGAATGGGATTTTTCGTGTCATTTATTTAATTCAAATTGAACATCAAATTGAACTTACCTCTGTAACAAAGGGAATAGTTAGCAGAAAGCTAACCATACACACACCCAGCGTGGTCAGCGCTCGTTTCGATTGAATCCTCTTTGGTGAAGCTTCCAGAATACCAGAGATAACACATTCAACTGTACCAAACTGAAAAATAATCATACGACATCATCTAATGTCAAAGAGTTGAACGCCAAATATTCTGAAAGATGGAATCGTGATACTTGCAGCAATTCGGACTCTTATTGCATACATTATTTTGAGAAATGACTATATAAGAATGGAATGTATTGTATATCAAAACTTGTAAAATCCGACACTTTCCTAGTTATTGCAAACACATTACTTGTCGCGGATCTGGGGTTTCTGATATACTATCACTCTATTACTCTATACTATTCTGACAATACATTTTGCGTGAATATATTTAGAAGTCACTTTATGGGTGGATGACTTCAAAGTGATCTTCAACCATGATATATGATGCGTATAAGGGGTAAACCATTGTGAAACCAAACTTGTTACATCAAGATATTTGATGGTGTTATGCTCACTTATGAAGACATTTCCTTGTTCCTAATCTGAACCGTGAAGTTATTCAGTAGATTTCCTGGTTCCGACTCTTTACCATGAAGTCATTCAATAGATTTGCAGGTTCCTATACTTTACCATGAAATCATTCAGTATATATGCAGATCCCTATACTTTACCATGAAGTTATTCAGTAGACCTGCAGGTTCCTGTACTTTGCCACTTTGTCAATCAATAGATTAGCTGGTTAGAAAACCTTAATCTGTATGGCTCCTAAACTTTACCAAGGAGTCAACCAATAGATTTCTTTATCCAATACGTTACAATAAAGTCAGTCAATACATTTGCTGGTTCCTACACTTTACCATGGAGTCAATCCCAACGGTGAGCAGTGTGAGGAAGAACAGAACAGCCCAGAGTTGGGATAAAGGCAGCTTGGATATAGCCTCAGGGTAGATGATGAACCCAAGCCCTGATCCTTAAGAACAATTTACGAAGAAAACGGAAAGTTAACGAGAATTATCATATGATTATGTGTGAAAGACGGAGATTTCTGAGAAAGTTATATTTTCACTATAGTGACAGAAATTTGATATGTTCACTGCAGTGAAAATATCCGTACTCATGACTCAACAAAGATTTCTGTCCAGTACTTTGGTGGCCCATAACAAATGGCAGTGTAAGCACATGCATTTCACCATATGTCAGCAATTTCCAGCGATGAGCACTCGAACCGATCAGCTGGTCGCTGCGTCATTCAGTGCATCGTACCTGAGTGAGTGTCAGTAACTGTCCCTCGCTGTGCTGTGTCAAGTTCACGCCTCGTTTCGCACTAGTTTGCATGTTCTCAGAACACAGTTACGAGTTGGACGCGTCCTAAGCTGACATGATATGTACAAGTGATTTGATTTTATTCCATTGGCAGTTTATTACTTGTTTTTATGCTTACTGACACGGTAAATAGTTGAAGTTTTTGTCAGTTCGATTTCACTCGACACGCCATGTTTGATTATGGTTCTTGTGAACGAGTTTTGACGTTTACGCTAAGCCAAAAGGGATCGTTTGATGGATGTCATAATAAGTGTTGATTTTATTCATTAAATGACAGTAAAAGATAGCACGTGATACAAATATGTGTTGTCTCGATTATATGATATTTCGAAAAACCGAACTTTGCCTTATCTGCTTTCCTGAACAAGATGTGAACAGTCTTCCGCGCGCGTTGTTCTTTTCCAGTACAGGGCCTACATGGTCGAAGCTCTCTTAGCGCTAAGATAGTCGTAAGTGCCATACAATAACATTAACTTACGACTATATTAGTGCTAAGAGAGCTTCGAAAATCTAGGCCCTGGGTGCTCTACACTTGAGATAGCTGAGCAAATGTATATGTATGTTTTATACACTGGTTTATTTCATGTTTGGTACTCGGAGTTTCATGCACGCACAGACACAAGTGTTCTGTGTGTCAATAATCAGACAAAATGAAATAAAAGGGAACGTTTTGAAGCAATCAAACAGAAGCAAGCGAAACTCAGGATTATGTAACCACTGTATTGAAGGGAAGTTCCAAGCAACTTGATTTCAGTTTGTCTGATGATTGCCACACAGAAACATGAAATAGTGCAATGTATCAAACATACACAGACACGCCCGCACGCACGCACACTTACACACACACTTCATATAACATACATATATACATACATAAACGGGTGTCTTTTAATATTGTGTATGGTGGCATTTGTCTTCTGTCTCTATCCAGCTAGATTTAGTCCAAGTGAGTGAGTGAGTTAAGATTTAACGTCACATATTTAGTCCAAGAAAACCTGTAATTCACTGGAGTGTATAATTACCCAGAACTTATGCTGTAACTAAAACAACAATGTCCCAAAGTATGTTCTCCAGGCGGAGACGAAGGTGCAGTGAAACACAATTGTGTCGAACTTACTGTTGTCCCGAAATAAAAGCCTTCCATCCTAATCACTATTTTGTCATGAATGAACTAGACGTATTAGGCTCAACTTCGATAATGTTTGACGTGATTTCATTACATGAGATCAGTGATGTACGAACCTGAGGATACGACTTCAGATATGGGTACCTGTGCTTCAGTAGCCATAAAGCCCAGAGTAGAGAAGACGGTGAAGCCACAGAAGATACAGCTCAGCTGGCCAATGATTGTTACCAACACCACATCCCTTAATTTAGAAATACAAACCTTATGTTTATATCAAAATAATTTAAACATTATAATCTAATAAGTTCAAATCTGGAGCATCGATGGTAGTGACAGTAATCTTCAAAATGCAGGTACTGATTAACATATTTATTTAGTCATTCAATTTTCCAAATCCATGCCATATAATGTATTTATTGAATGTTTGATCTTGAGTAGAATTTGATTACCTGACACAATTATTGTTGAAGGAGTTGAAACTGCCCATTGTGATGAGGCCGCCATACGTTGTATTCAGCGAGTAGAAACTCTGCAGTAATGCCTCCAGCCACACCTTCCGTCACCACAAACTTATTAGAGGTGAAACCATTTTCATTGGTCCAAAGAAGGCGTACATACTTTTCAAAGTTAAGTGTCTAGACACTATCACACTACGTCCAAATTTCGAATTTTAACCAGACCATGAAACCATGAAAAACACTTTCACGAATATTAGCGTGTTTGCAAAAGTACATAACACTAGTAAAAGAATGATCTTTTTCTAAATCCATGTATAATCATAACATTCGGTTTCTAAATAATATCATATTTGTCAATATGATACTTGTCATCATATTTCAGTTGCGTAGGTCATTGATTGTCTTGCCTTGCTTCATTACATGCAAACCACCATCCTAGACTTGGGTATTATTGGATTCGGCGTTTAACAGCAAATTAAAACATACACGTGTTATATTCTCTACCAGTAGTTCTCTACACAGTGCATTTCATGACTTAAATAGCTATCAATTGACAAGCACTTATCCACCCTCATTTAATTGTTATCATAAAAAATCGCCAGATTATACTGGTCTTGAAATGACTAGTACGGTTTGAAAACATTAAATGGATTACATATGCCTGTATCCTTCAGACAGATCAAGTAATATATTACTGTTACCTGGACTGTCAGTAGTTTTGAAAAATCCGGCCTAAGGAAATACAGAAGGCCGTCCACCGACCCCGGCATCATGCACGACCTGATCAGCAGCACCGTCAGCAGGATGTATGGCAACACGGCCGTCACATACACTACCTGCAATATAGGATTACGGCACTGTACAGGGCAAGCAGCACGAAGATTTATCCATACACATATAGGCTTCAGTTACATTAGAGTAATCAGCCATCGTCTAATACCCGTGAAGAACCGGGTTAGAACTGGTCTTCAGCAACTAACAGGATCGGATGGTAAGGCTCGCTGACTTGCTTGTTACATTTCAGCGTATCCATTTGCTTTCATTTATGCTGATGACAACAAAGGAAACCTTGTCTTAAGCGTGTTGGAATTCTATGACTGCGGATTCGAATCCCTGATTTCCTGATTATAATTATTTTTAGTTACAAATTGTGAAAAATCAAGTAAAGAACATCAACTCTCGATAAAGGTGAAACCTATGGCTTTCAAACAAAGAGGCCAAAGTGACTACCTTCTTTCTTTGGCATTGTACAACAATATTACACTTACTTTTCCAACTGATTTGATTCCCGACATCATACAGAGGAACAAGATCGCCCAGGATGCAGCTGAGCACAGAAGCAGGTGGGTCTGGACCGAACCTAATGTTTCAACGCCATCGGAAACCCTTATAGCATTATATCTGCAGATGGAAATGGAAGCCTTCTTATTTAGTTCTCTCTTCACACTTCTTCTATGGACATTTGTAGAGCGCAGTAGTAACTCCACACCTCAAGGGCATGCTCTTTGCGTAACAGTAAATATGTACACTATATACAGGAAGAAGTGTTATAAGATTTAGTTGTGGTTGAACAAGAATGTTTTGAGTCTTGATTTAAAGATGGAGATGGAAGGAGATGACTTGACATGGAGAGGTAGTGAGTTCGGGGGGTTACCAGTAGTGAAAAAACAACATTTAGAATAACTGCCAACATTCTTCAGAGGCTGTCAATGTTTCGTTCGGTTTTCTCCACGGAGGGATGATTCTAGGGTCATTCATCAACCGGTGTAATGACAAAAAATTACAAATGTGCCTGCGAGTGCAACTTGTACATCTCATTGTAGGTGAGTGAGTGAGTTCTGCTTTACGTCGCTTTTAGCAATATTCCAGCATTATCACGCTGGGGGACAACAGAAATGGGCTTCACACACTGTGCATATTACTATGGTACAAGCGCCAATATCATGCCAGTATGCATGAATATGTCTACTTTGGTTGTCATTACTGAACAAATGACGGGTTATGTCTATCTAAAGAAGAAAAAACATATTTAGACCTACTGCCAAAATTCTTCAGCTGCTGTCAATGTCTCGTTCGGTTTTCTCCACGGAGCGGTGATTCTGGGGTCATTCATCATGCGGTAATTGCTGTCGTTGTAAGTTGTGTTACTGCCGATATCATCAGTGCATAGAGCCGTATTCCACCAGTTGTTGCAAGTGGTCCAAGGTAACATGGGCCAAAATGATTGATACAGATAGTACAAGGTCCACACAATAATCAGATTGTAGGAAATGGAACTGATGAAACACACTACGGCCTGTGAGATGCCAATGCCTGAAAAGAAGAGACAATAAAGAGGAAAGATCTCATAGTAGGAGGAGATGCCATACGCCATCAAAATTTAAAAAGTAAGTGATTTTATCAATCGACACATATCCGCACTAATTATAACATATGAACGAATATCATCTTTATACCGTAAATAGTTCACTTTAATGAGTACATTATCGCTGTGGCCTGATAATATCGAGTCAGGACTAACCAGTCCAGCGACTCCTATTGTCAACAACGCCCAACACCGTCCGACTCGCAAAGAGTCTTGTAAAGAGTCTTGTAATAGATCTGGTCAACCAGTGTGAACAATTCTATCCCGGAATCTCGACGATGTTACAACTATTGACGATGAATCGCAGAACCATATGTCATTGTTCTTGACACCGAAATATATGAAGAGTTACGACTACTAAGTTTCTGCAGCATTTCACGTCTTTGACTTAAACTGATCTTCTTAGAGCATGTAGGCAAATACAGTACTGACAGTTTAAATATGTTCGTTAAATCATAGATAAATTCCTCATACTACTTTGCCAATAACTCTTTCACATGACAAGAGGTCAGGGAAATCCTGACCTTTAAACAGCGGGCACATGTCCCAGACATGAGCAGCGCTCCTGCTGGAGAACTGGCCAATGGACACCTCGAGAAAGAAGAGAGGAACTGCGCAAAGAAATATCCCACAGAAATAAGGGATGAGGAATGCACCTGTAATAAAGGAAATGCAAAGTTCAATGAAAACTTTCTCCAAGTACTTCAAAAGACGAGCTGAGGTATTCAAATTTCACTAGTGTTGTGCCATGACTAGATGGCACTGGTAAATTCATTCTACAGAGACACCTTAGAAAACACGGGTAGCCTTGAATTATATACATCGTAATAAACCATCATGCCTTCCCAGTATACACACCTCCACCGTTTCTGTTGCAGAGGTAGGGGAATCTCCAGAAGGTTCCAAGCCCAACAGCAAAACCTATTTGAGACAAAATATACTCTCGCTTGTTTGTCCAAACTTCTCTCATCTGTCCCTGCTCACCAGCTTCAGCCTTTCTCCTTTTCTCACCGTGAGACATGGTGATATTAGAAGATACTTGTTCTCTTGGGCAGCAGTAGGCTGGATTGAAGAGAGTCACAGACTGAGTTAATATTCATACGTATTGTGTTATGTTCTGAGAATCTATTCAAGGGTTAGATTACAAGCTATCACACAAAGGACAGGAGACGTATGTTTACATTTAGAAATAGCCTGTTTGAGTTCATCAGATCAAAGAGCGTTTTAATAACAACATCGTATTTTTCAATACATCTCTGTTTTATCCAAAACGAACAAAATTTTCAGAACTAACGAACTGCTTACGTTTTCAGTCTTCCAATGTTTCGAATTGTTTTTACCAAAGGTAACATCATCTCAATATCAACATTAATTAGACCGACTAGAGTTGAAGTAAATGGTGCCACCCACACCCATCATACATTAGACAACAGATTGTGCCATGCTCTGTCGCTTGAAGTATGACGCTTAGTGATAAGTGATGAGTCTGACACAGCAACAGCAGCAGCAGCAGAACAAGATGCCACCGAGTCTGTGGTGTCGAGGCAGTTTCTAAGATGAAGAAACATGTCACCTCTGTTTGTTTACGAGTCTCCTGTAATGCTGTATGACTTCAGTGTTTGATGATGCTGTCGTGTTTTCGTCGTCGTTTTGAAGTACTTATGGAATGATGACATGAGCATGGGTCCAACACAACTTATTCAATCAGGTGCTGGTACCATGATGCATTTTGTCAAAAGGTGACGTCATGTCACGAGCAAGCAATGACGTCACGGGGCTTCTGTTTACAATATACTATTTGTAGTACCTTGATGACAGGTAGCTTTAGCTACCAACACCAAGCATATTGTGTTATTGAATATATACTTAGTTCCAAAAGAAACGTGACATGTCCATTTGAAATCAGAACTGTTATCCCACATACACGCTTCTTGCCACTATATGCTTTGCACAAAACGGACCAAAGAAAGATAAAAGGCATCAGCAACGACAGTGGATTTAAGATCTGATGAAAGTTTTATTGTGTCCAACCTGAAGAGTGTGCATTAGACACGTTTAGAAGCTTAAGGATTCGATGTTGTCAGTACCTGGTATGACCACCATTATTGTTTATCACATGAGTACACCGTCTTCCCATGGACATGAACAAACGTCGAATGAAAGCATGGGGAATGTTATTGTACTCATTCAACACTGCATTCTCCAACTGCCGCCGATTTTGAGGAGGAACTGGTCTTTGACAAAGGCGTCGGTCCAACTCGTCCCAGAGATGTTCCACTGGATTCAAATCAGGACTAAGAAGTGGCCAAACCATTGTCTGGAGGTGGTGATTGGCCAGGAATTGTCCTGTGATAATGACCGAGTGGGCGCGGGCATTAGGTTATCTCCCATTTGACAGACACCCATTTGACAGACACCCAATTGACAGACACTGAACTAGAAGGTTAATTAGGGTAACACCTACGGGTATAATGGAACAGTCCACTGTTTAGTGAGTAGAGCAGTGTGAGCCTGAAACAGGTTCGTTACTGAGAAGTTTGATTGTAGGTAAATAGAACTTTGCTGTGTTTAAATGATAAATGATTTCTCTTCTCAAAATTGTTTTTTACTATCAATTACTATCGAATATAAAAAACAAGTTTGTCACTGAGAAGTTTGATTGTGTTTATTGATAGAAAAGCCCCCTCCCAATAATAATAGCATATGTACAACAGAAGTTTACTGAGAAAACGTTTTGTGGGAGAGATATAGATATGTACATATTTGAAAACATTTTGATTTGCAGTAAATGAGACATCTGCATTGCCATGTAAGATACGATTAATACAAATCAGTGTTCTAATTTTAACAATACTTTCTAAAGATTGTAACAGTTTATGTCTTTGAGTAGTATACAATGGCCATTCAAGGACGTAATGAAAAACATTCTCACATCCATGGACACATTGACATGATGCGTAATATTTTAAATATTTATTCTAAATAAATCGTAATTAAGTGCACTCGTCATATACTACCCATCAAAGGTTTAGACTCACTAGTGTAAATGTAGCCACTTACTTCAGTCAACTGTTCTAAACTTGATTTTGCAAAATATTCCATACCGTTTAAAGCTACTGTTTACACGTGAACTGATGTATTGTAAAACAACTTTGTAATGTTGACAAGATTATTGCCGTGAGTTCAATAAATGATGAAACTCAGTGAAAATTGGCGAATTCTTAACAAAACTTTACACCAAAACGCAGCTGTTCACATGCACGATATTTGCACATGCTTTTCAGCAATTTGATGCATGATCCTCGTGCAATTCATCTGCATAAGGTTTCCAGTTGGTTCCCCTAGGTTAGTGGAGAAGTTCATCTTCGATGTAACCATGTATATATACATAACATATAGTGAGTGCTTTAAGTAAGTCTAAACTTTTGATGGGTAGTATATATCTGAATACTGTGTGCAAAACATATAACTTCTTTATTCCATATGAATAACATTTATGTTCACATTTGTCTTTATTTGATTTATATGATACATCAGTGTCGTAATTTCTAATAGATAAGCTAATGTTTTCAATATATTGATGCCGACACCTGTTAGACTAGAAGGTTATATAATTAAACCGAAATGTTTGTGAAAAACTGTTTTCATATTGCAGCAATAAAAATTCAAATTACTGTCTTTTCGTCCATCTTTCAAAATAAATAATATAGCTTCAGTTTTAATACAAGAAACATCTTATGGATAACAACTTCTTGATTTATGTTATCCATAAGATTTGTCTTGTATTACTACACCAACTTCTAAATGCCTTTGAAGAATTTAGCTTCAGTTTGTTCCTGTTTTTATTTGGTCTATTCCATAATAATGTGTAGGTAACAGGTAGTAGATACTCTGTTCACTGAACCGTAAATGTTGTTGTTTTAAGGTGTTTGCGAACTGGCTGTGTGCGTAATGGGAGGACACCGGGCATTATCGTGTTGGAACTGCAACTGTGGTCTGGGGCTAAAGAACGGGACGACAACAGGCCTTAAGACTTCGTAAATGTAGCGTCGTGCAGTTACGCCCCTTCCACGACCATGACCGTTGTTTTGGAAAATTACAGGTGGTACATGACTTCCCCAGCTTATTCCACCCCACATCATACGGTGAGGTGAGGTAAAATTGGGGTTTAACGTCGTGTTTGAGAATATTTCGCTCACATGACGACGTGCATGCGTGTGTATGTGTATATGCGGCTGCTTGAACTAACCCAGACTTAAGCTGGTTTTAAAATGCTAGCCCACTGAGATACCATGCCGCAGTGAAGCATGAATACCCCACTCAGACACATTATACTGACTCCGAGCCGACCAGTCCTTGATGTACCCTTACCCGAAGTACCATATTTTAACGTCTTTTGGTATGACGCGTTCGGGGATCGAACCCACGACCTTCCGCTCTCCGGGCGGACGCTCTAACCACTACACCACGGAGGCGGTCTCACATCATGAGGGATGGCCCACCCTAGCGGTCACTTTCCAGAACACATGGGTCTCATTTCGTCGACGCCATACTCTCACTCTCCCATCTGCAACGTGGACACAAAAACAACTCTCGTCTGAGAAAACAACGTTCTGCCACTGTGCATATCTCCAATGCTGATGGTTGCGAGCCCATACTAAGCGCAGACGACGGTGCTGTGGCGTCAAAATCGGTCCAACATAGGGTCTCCTACAGTGTAGCCGATGTGCTCTCAAACATCGACGCACAATGTTTCCTGACATTGGTCTGTTGTGAATCCCAATTGTCTGACGGGCTTTAACAGTAGCTGGAAGAAAACGGTTGCAAAGATGTGACGTTACAATGTAATGGTCTTGCCTTGTGTGACGCCACTCGTTGCCCGCCATCTCTAGGTCGATCTCTCACCGAATTCGTTTGATTTTGGCGTTCAATCAGTCGGTAAATTGTCGTCCGATGTACTCCCATATGTTGTGCAACGTTGACAACGCTGGAACCAGCATCAATCAACCCAAAAGCACGTAGACGTTCTTCATTGCTCAGACGTGGCATATTGTTCTCAGAACCATTCAGAAAAGGAACACAACAGAAACTGTCTTTGCATCTTTTAAAGGGTTCTTTCTCTCGTTTTTCTTGAAGAAAGCGTCATTAAATCCACGTGCACAACGCGTCAGGGCATGCGTTTATGTGATGCGTTTCTGTTGTTTGTTCCCATAAAAATGTTCAATAATTAGATACAGTTGTCACGTCTAATCTGACGTTAAAAGTCTTGTTTGAGAAGTTTAATTTCGAAAATTGTTTTAAAATAACATTTAACATCCACATTCGTTATGATTGTAAAGTAGATAAGCCAATTATAGAAATTTCAAAAACATGCATGTCGGGTTTCTTATGGAACTAAGTATATATAATATTAGGAGGAGTGAGTGAGTGAGTGAGTTAAAATATAAAGTCACTTTGGCAATATTTCAGCCATATCGTGACTAAAACAAGTTATAGATTAACAATAATTAAAGATAGATTATAAAATCCTGTCAACAAAGGACAGTAAAACAACTAGAACATCACAGATATATATGTAAAACTAGTAATTAAATCTAAAACGTTTTTACTATAGAGGAAAACATAATATAAAAATAGGCTATAGATCGCCAACAACTGAGGGTAGATCACCATACCAGGGACCATGGGGACTTACAGTACCTTTGCTACCTGCATGGACCCTAGTTGGATTTACACAATCCCTTCAGCCGTTGGTGATTGTAAGAAAATTTAGCCAAAATTAAAATAACAAGAATACTACGTTTAAAAATCCTGGTAAGTTTAAATTGACTTTTAAAGTTTTGGGACTTACATACCATCTCAGGAGGACAATAATTTTACGATACTTTAACCCCCTTTGAGGGTACAGCCACTAACATTCTAAGTTATTAATCAAAACTACCAATCATTAAAACACATCTATCTACAGAACATATTTATCAAAATTCACTAATTAAATCAATTTCTTTTAAAAAAACAAGAATTAAATGAAATTGAACAGTATTAAAAAGATCCTTAACCGTTTTAACATTGAAATATTTATCCCTTGTGATGGAGAATTCAATACAGTCAAGCAGGATATGCTTGACTGTGACTCTCTCATCACAAGGGATACAGGACGGAGGATCCTCACCTTTTAACAAGTATTTGTGAGTATACCTTGTATGGCCAATACGACATCGTGGCATGATGACCTCTTCAAATCTGGACTGACAACCCAAGTAGGTGTAACCAATATAGGGTTTTATTTCATGTAATTTATTAATACCTACTTGGGTGTCCCACTTCTTTTGCATCAGATCACGGATGTAGGTTCTAATGCTAGCCCTGTAATCAGAATATGGAATAAGAAGTGGTGTCACAGATTTATTTAGTGCTGCCTTGGCAGCAAGATCAGCCAGTGTATTTCCAGAAATGCCAACATGGCTGGGTAACCAACAAAAGACGATGTCGCATTGGCCAGTAGCAAGCTAAAATTATATATACAATTCAATAATTTCTGTTAAAAGTGGATGTTTACAAGAAAGACTTTTAATAGCTTAAAGGCAAGGAAGAGAGTCTGAAAATATTATATATTGTTCGTGTTTAGGGTGTTTTTTAATATATCTTAAGGCTGTTAATATGGCGTTTGCTTCTGCTGTAAAAATAGAGCTTTTATGCGGTAAACGAGAAGATATTGTTCTGGATCCAATGACAGTGGCACAAGCCACCGCGCCAGCATCCTTGGACCAATCAGTAAATAAGGATTTATATGTATTATATTTACTTTTTAATTGATTATGTGCTTGTTTATATTGTAAGTCATTAGTTTCTGATTTTTTAAAATTTAGTGAGTGTTAGGTCGACTTGTGGCCTAACCAACTGCCAAGGAGGAGAAGAAAGAAGACGGGAAGGAGATATATTCTCCAACTCAATGCCAGCAGCAGAAATATAGTGTTGGATTCTTATCCTAAGAGGTGGAACAAGTGAAGTATTTTGTTATACAAATCCTCATAAAGATGATGAAAAACGCAGTTGTGAGCAGTATTGGATTCATTAGAATATAACTTTGTGATATATTGTAAAGACAATTTGATACGGCAAAGTTTTAAAGATGGCTCATCGGCCTCAACGTAGAGACTGTCAATGGGAGAGGTTCTAAAGGATCCAAGACAAAGTCTTAGACCTTGGTGGTGGACAGAATCTAATAGTTTTAAATTACTTTTGCAGGCTCCACCATAAACGATCGAACCATAATCAAGTTTAGAACGAATTAGTGCTGTATACAAATGAAGGAGGGTCGACTGGCCACCTCCCCACTTAGCAATGGAGACTACTTTTAATAGATCTAATGCCTTCAGGCACTTTGCCTTAAGATATTGAATATGAGGTAAAAACGTAAGATAATGGTCAAATATGATACCCAAAATTTTAGCTTCCTATACTACGTTAATGGGAGTACCCGATAGATGTAAGTCTGGGTCCTTGTGTTGTTTATATTTACGACAGAAATGGATGCAGTTAGTTTTAGATTTAGAAAACTTAAAGCCATTTCGTTCGGACCAATCATTAATTTTATTGAGACAGAGCTGCAACTGTCTCTCAATCGTGTGCATATTTTTACCCCGACATTATACATTAAAATCATCAACAGATAATGACCCATCAACAGAGTCATTTAACACTTTCGATAAACTACTTATTTTAATACTGAACAATGTTACAGATAATATGCTACCTTGTGGGACACCTTGATCTTGTTCATAAAATTCAGACAAGGTGGAACCCACACGTACCTGGAAATGTCGATCTGTTAAAAACTGTGATATGAAATTATGCAAACGGCCTCTCAGACCCATTTCATGAAGATCTTTTCTTTTCCAGGTTGTATCATATGCTTTTTCGAGATAATAAAATATAGATAAAGCATGTTGTTTATTGACGATAGCATACTTAAGAAACGTTTCTAATCTAACTAAATGGTCAATGGTACTTCTGTTTTTCCTAAACCGCCACTGGATATTCGTAATAAGATTATTGGTTTCTAAGTACCATATTAGTCTGTTATTGACCATTCTTTCCATGGTCTTGCAAACACAACTAGTTAGCGATATTGGCCTATAGTTGGAAGGATAGTATGATCACGGCCTGGTTTTGGAATTGGAATAATGACAGCATTCCGCCACGAGGAAGGGAAATTACCTGTCGTCCATATTTGATCAAAAAGTATTTAATAGGGTTTCTAAACAAAAATCAGGTAAATGTTTAAGTAACTGATAATAAATACCATCAGCACCCGTAGCAGTATCATGAGCTTGCCCTAAGGCAGTATTTAGCTCATGAAATTAGAGAAAACTTCATTGTAGTCCTCACCATTATCGGACGCAAAATTGATTTTCATTTTTTCAGCGTGCTGTTTAAATTTTTGAAATTTTGGTGTATAATATATTAGGAGGAAACCCTAGAAGTTATGTATGGGTATATGACATGCGAATCCAAACACATTGTACACAAATATCTCTTTGGGTTCGCAAGTATTTAAAACGTTGACCCCGATATTATATTAAGGCGTTATTGGGAATAAGTGGGAAGATGGGAGGTCAGTATTAATTGCAGTTGCAATTGGTATTAATTCATTATCAGGATTTAACCAAACATATGCTGCCTTGTCTTTGCTTTTCAGAAGGATTGAGCAACAAAAGCAGCGACGCGTGTAAAACATATAAGCCTTTCTTTCATCTCCATATGGCGCTCTATTTTCCAAACACGTGGTGCAATGAGCTCAGTTTAATCTTTGTTTTATGAGCAAATATAACAACGTTCAGTGACAAATAATTATTATAATGAAACTACATTGTCGACAGCGGCTTCGAAACGTCCATCTACTCACCGTTTTTGAATAGAACAAAATATGTGCTACTTCTGGTAGATGCACGTTGACTCTGATTCCTGGTGCTGGGGCATGCTACATGTATACATGACACGTGTGCAACGTCTGTTAACATTTGCTGTATGCATTCGAAGGTGTTTATTATACAATATGCAGTATATATTTCACATGTGTATCTATGTCACACACACTTGGAATACATTTACCACAAACACATTTAACCTGAATGTTGGTGAGCAGTCTGTGAGAATATATCTAAATATGAAACACATGAGGCGACTTCACTTGTTTCCTTCACATCAAGTTCAGGGAATTGCCTATGTGAACGATATTAGATCATAGAAAAAAACTGAAGCTTAGGTTAAACGTCTTGGTCAAATTGTCTTGCTTTGATTATTTACCAACCCGATTTCACCTAAACGTTTCACCTGAATTTTATGTAGATGTTATCAGTGAGAAAGAACGGCATTTCACTTATTGTTTTCTCAGTAAACTTCACATGATATAAGCTTTCATTTTTGACACACTAGTAGTATATAACGTGTCGCCAGACGGTAGATTTGGTTGAGGGAAGGGTAAGGACATGGATTGGCTGATGTAAGTCACGTGATCATAGCTGATAGGTAAATATAGACAGCACGTCACAGGTCAGGAAAGTTCAATGAAAGGTGTGGGTGTTTTAAGGCAGCAAACTCTTCATTAAGCGAAAAACAAAAGCAAAGTGTCCTGAATAGAGCTATGTATAGCATGCTGCCTAGAATAGACAGACAGACAGTACCCGTCAGCCCGGTTTTGAATTGAGCGCGCTTGACAACTGACATGACTCCGTCGTTTTAAATAGCCCGCGCTCGACAGAGCGTGCGACCTGTTTTGATGAATGCAGGGGTGTGTGTGTGTGTTGAAAGTACATCGTATCACAATAGAGACGGGTTGTGTCAACACTGTTCGGAGACGGAATCTTCGAGTTGTGTAAAATGTAGTTGAAAAACATTTCATACAGAACGCGTCCTGTACAAGTATAACACCATCAAAGTAATGGAAAGTCGGTGTAGGTTTATATGTTATTTCATACTAGGTTTTTTTTCCATCCAAATATAGCGTGATGAGAAATAAATGATTTTGAGCCATGAACTCTAATGGATACAGTTTTAGTTTTACAAGACAGCGAGATGTTTGAAAAAAAAAAGAGGCTAGATAGAGATAGAAGCATATCAATATCATATAGCACACGTATAATACCATGAAAATCACGTCATTTGGAGAGAGACGAAAGAAAATAGAAATAGGAATCTGCTTATTGAAACAGTTCTGGCGTGCCCTGTTCAGACAGAGAACAGATTTGAGAAATTTAGGACGTGACACCCTCCTACCTCATCATTTCAAAATGCGTATGTTAGCTCGTATAAAATAAAGATAGTTATACCTCAGTCCAATAAAAAAGAACTCGCAAAATATCAGTGACATTTTTGAAAATAACTAAATCCAGATTCAGTTGTAGATAGCATCAGATTATAGGCAACGAGATTAGACTGAAAAACCGTAGTTCACAAAGCATAATCAAGGAGGACGACATGCATGACTGAACAGTCAATGGAACAGGCAGGTGTGTGTACTATTTGGTGTGTGAACTGAGAGCTGTGAAGGAAAAGGTTCAATGTCTTTTCCCGTGTGGGCAAACATGGGTGGTCCCTATCCCAGCCCGTCAGTCATGTCTTAGCGAGATACACGGGCGCGTTGAATGATCAGTTACTATATGTCAATCATTCGCCAGAACCGTGCTATATAAGCACCACCCGAATATCAGAGTGTCATTTCAGTTTCAACAACGAGCGAGAATTCATCAACTTTTACGTGACCAGTCTGAACATGGACTCAACAAACGCGTAAGTATACTTCTTAATGAGGTCTCACTATTTAATTTTTATAAATGAGAATGCTACAGCTAACAAATGTTTTGATTTCAATAAAAGGGTATATGTTAGTATAGTAATTATGAGTTTCATGACCAAGTTTATGAAATCATGTAGAAACAATTTTTGTATCTCTAGCGTGAATTGAAAGAAACGTTATGTCTTTCAGACAATTTACCTGTCCACAGTGCGGGAAAGGTTTTAATAGAAAAGATAACCTTTGCCGCCATGTGCGATCAGTCCACCGGGGAGAACGCTACGTGTGCTTTACATGCACAAAATCTTTTGCTTCAAATCAAAAACTGAAGCAACACAAATGTGCCTTGTCGCAACAACGTCTATCGGAATATCGATGTAGCGTGAGTAGTGTTTATTATTTATGTGTAAGTTCTCGCTTCTGTCTGCTATAATATCATCAGATATATTTCATCATATGTAGAGATATTATCTTCCTATGTCTTTAACCGACTGTTTCATAAGGTGTATATTTTAAAGACGTGAGCAATGTTGTCTACAGTTTCAATTGTTACTTTCACATAGTATCACAGTGGTTATCATCAGTAAAGTTAAATGTTACAGCGACATAGCGACAAACTTCCCCTATAATTGAGAGCTATTTGCTTAAAAATGTTACTTCTATATACAGAAATGCCCCGAGGTGTTCCCTTCTCCCCGTGAGCTGGGCGTGCATTTTCGGCGCGTTCATTCTTCTGGTGAGTTTATGTTCATCTCCGACATTAATCTTGTCTATGTGCTGCTTCCGTGTATTTTCGAGTGTGTTTTAGTTTAGTATGTACAGATAATGATGTATATTTACAGGCACAACTACGCAAACAGATGTTCACGCACGCCCGTCTACCTCGAGAGGAGTACCGGTTAGTGGGGGTAAGCTCTATTATATCTCTCTGTCACTTTATTCATCCATGTACGATGGTTAGTATTACCGAGGTTCGTACCGCATAGGGTTTCAATGTATGTGTGTGTGTATGTGTGTGCGTGTGTGTGAGTGAGTGAGATGTGTTTGTAGATAGCATCGGCCGGGGAATGTTTTCAATAAATTGTTTTTGTATTTCAGGGACAAGCCAGCCGACACCGTCCACATCCTCGGGTCAGGCTGCAAGGGCGGGAAACTCTCGTGCTAGTGGAGGTAGATGTTGAATAGTATTTTATATGCTAAGGGTTTTAGATAGCCCTGAATTATGTATTAATTCAGTTCGTCATAGTGTTAATATGTATTCGCTTTGGAAGTATCATAGAATGTGTTTATATGTATTCGCTTTGGAAGTATTATACCATGTGTTAGTCATGAGTTTTATGTGAAGCATAAGAGCTCGTAGTGAGTGAATGATGCTGTTATATGAGACTTAGTATTCATACATTGATTTTTTTTTCTCTATCACCAGCTCCCTCGTCTTCCCGCGTCGCAGCATCGGATGGTTGTACCTGCCGGGCGTGTCATAGGCGTTTCGAGGATCGGTTGTCTCTCTACCGTCATCAGATGATAGAGGGACACCGCGTCCTACCATCGCAGTCCGGCGGGAGTAGGGATACCGATGCTGCTGCTGGCAGTGAGCTCCAACCACGCCCATGGGGAGAAGGTCCCGCTCCATGGGTAGACGAGAGCACTGGTGAGGTGACGGAGCCCGGACTCCAGGAAGCCTATGACCTGGACGCTCCCTACATCCTCGCACGAGACCAACCCGGGGAGGTGTTTTCTATCTACAACCTCCCCCTTAACAACAACTTTTCGATAGGTGAGTTGATGGAACGTGCTAGGGATATCTATCAATCATTAAATTAGAGTTTTAGATTGAATCTAGCGTTCGGTGTCATCCTACGTCACGTGGAGACGGGACGCTATCGCTATTTCCATCCTTATGCTGTCGATCCACTCTTTACTAGTCCTCTCTATATCACCGAGCTGAGGGATCTCGAACGGTTGCGTCAGAGACTAGAAAGCCAAGATGTCATGTCCTTTCTCATTTAACAACGCCCCGATACCAAATGGAAACCTGTTTTGATTACGAATGTGAATTTCTTTATTTACAGAACAAATTTTCCGCTCGGCCACCCTCCAGTCCCTCTCCCCGATTACATCAAAAACCATAAAGCTATTAGAACATTAGATTATAACAAGTTCCCAAAACGGTTTTATGATGATCACCTTTGCGCTTTCCGGTGTCTAGCTCTGCATCGAGATCCTCCTGCTCGACAATCACTAGAAAAGCCTACCAAAGCTCTTTACTATCAGTGGGTCGTGTACTGTCGGGACCATCATCTCCAATCCTTAAATAAGGTTCGCCCCGAAGAGTACGTGGGTCTCCCCCCTTCTCTCCTCTCTCACTTTGAAGCTTGTTTCCGTGTGAATGTGAGCGTGTTCACTCTTGACGTAACAGGAATAGCTCAGCCCGTGTATAAATCTAGAGGGGTGTATCAGGACCACATGTACTTAAATCAATTTGAAAATCACCTCTCCCTCATTACCAGTATAAACATCTATTGTAAACGCTACCAGTGTCCCACGTGCGAACGTCTCTTCCGGCGCCAAAACGAATGCAACACATACCAACGTCGTTGCACAGGTCAAACGACTTTGCGGTTCCCGGGTGGTTTCCACCACACCCCAAAGACCGTGTTTGACGAGCTGGAAGAGTTCGACTTCGTCGTCGAGGCTAGAGACAGATATTTTCCGTGGTTCGTGGTATTCGATTTTGAGTGTTTTTAGAAACCCATGAATACCGGAACCCAGAAACTGAGATGGACACAAGAACACCACCCCATCTCAGCCAGCGTGTGTTCCAATGTGGAAGGGTTTACTTCACCACACTGCATCGTCGATTCCGATCCGGATCGATTGATTGCTGCCATGTTGGCATACATGACGGAAATAGGCAAAGCCGTAAACAACCTAGCCAAAGAAAAATATAAAGAGGTGTTAGAAAGCTTGCGCGAGTTGATAAAGTCGTTGCCTGTGGAGGACCAGACGACTGTTGACGATTATGATGATGATGATGATGATGTCAACGTCGGGGAGGGTGACAACCACCCCGCCCATGGCAAACCTACTCGCGCACACTCTACACCCGAGGCTAAGTGGGGAAAGCGCGTGAGCGATCTCTGCGGGAAGCTTCTGGGGTACTGTTCTCAAGTCCCCGTCCTCGGATTTAATTCAGCTCGTTACGACCTGAATACCATTAAGGAGAAACTACCCAAATATCTCTCTCTCGACGACAAAGAATCTCAGGCTTTCACTGTAAAGAAAAACAATGCTTACTTGTGTCAAAGTAATCAAAGTTTCAAATTTCTTGACGTCACGCAATATCTCTCTCCCGGAACGAGTTATGCTCAGTTTCTGAAAGCATTCGGAGTGCAAGAGAAAAAGGGATTTTTCCCGTATGAGTATCTCGACACTCCGGAAAAGCTAAACGAGACTCGGCTTCCCCCTCTGGGCGAGGCATGGTATTCCAGTCTCAAACAGAAGTCCGTCCTCGACGATGGTGTGAAATCGATCGAGGAGAATTATGCCGACCTCGAGGAAGTTTGGAGACTGGAAGGCACGTCCACGTTTCGAGATTTCCTCGAGTGGTATAACAATCTGGACGTGGGTCCCTTTGTGGAAGCTGTACAAGCCATGCAGCGGTTTTATTTCGAGGACGGTATCGACCTCTTTAAAACCACTATGTCGGTACCTGGTGTGGCCCGACAGAAATTATTCCGAGAGAGTCAAAAGAAAGGGGTCTCCTTTGCTCTGTTCGATAAACGCAACGAAGACCTCTATCACACCGTAAAGGCTAACGTGGTCGGCGGTCCTTCTATTATATTCACGAGGTACCACAAAGCCAATCAAACGTTGATTAGAGACCATCCCGACAAACGGTGTAAAAGGGTGGTTGGGTATGACGCGAACGCGTTATACTTGTGGGCTATAGATCAGCCCATGCCCACCGGTCCTTTCGTGCGTAGGAGAGCCGAGAATCGATTCAAACCGGAACGCAGGGACAGGTATGCGTGCATGTACGACTGGATGGATTGGTTGAGGGAGCAGGAAGGGCGGGACATTCGGCACAAGTTAAACTGGGGGCGGGAAAAACGAGTCGGGCCGTACTTGGTGGATGGGTTCATTCCCGGCTCTATGACCGTATACGAGTTTCATGGATGCTATTTCCACGGCCACCATTGTCACCTCACGGCGAAAGCGCGCTCTCGGGAAAAATTACGAGAACGATTGGAACAAAAATTAAAGGCAACCAGAGCGCGCGTTGCTTATATCCGCGATCTGGGTTACACGGTCGTGGAAATGTGGGAATGTAACTTTCGCGCCGAATGTAAAACTAATTCCCAGCTCTCGTCCTGTATCCGAGGTCAACAACCACCTTTTTCTCAAAAGAAAGGGTGGAAGCAGGTCTCCGAACGGGACATGTTGAACGTTGTGGAAAAGGGGGAACTCTTCGGTATGGTGGAAGTGGACATTCACGTCCCCGATCACTGGATGCCTGGACAGAACCCTCACGGCACTCATCTCTCCCCGGGGGAGTACTTCCAAGAAATGACTCCCCTATTCTGCAATGCAGAAGTTCCTTTCGAGGTTCTCGGGAAACACATGCAGGAGTACATCAGGGAGAACGACTTGAGTACAAAACCGCGCCGTATGCTCATTGGCGGGTTAAAGGCGCGGAAAATCCTGATCGCCACCCCTCTGTTGCAATGGTATTTACAGCACGGCATGGTGGTCGATCGCGTGTACCAAGTTGTCGAGTACACCCCGAACGCGTGTTTTCAGCAGTTTGTTCGGGACGTGTGCTCAGCCAGACGAGAAGCCGACCGAGATCCCTCAGCAGCCATTTGCGGGGATACGGCTAAACTTACGGGCAACTCCGCGTACGGTTCGGTATTGATCAATAAAGAAAAACATCAGACCGTCTCGTACGTGTGTGGTCAAACGGAGGCCAGCACTCAAGTCAATTTACCTCAATTCAGGAAATTGACGGAACTAGGCGGGGGTTATTTCGAGGTGGAGAAAGCCAAGAAAGTCTTACGCCTCGATACGCCCGTGCAGCATTACGCCACAACGGGCCCAAGAACAAACAACAACCTTGAAGGTTGGCATGGGCGGTTGAAGAAGTTGGTTGGCAAGGCCCATCCAAACTTGTTAGAATTCCTGCTATTCCTTCTAAGAGAGCAGAAATCCACGGAAATAAACTTGATGCAATATACCGCCGGTCAACGCCTCCCACCAAAGAAAAAGAAGTATAGAGAAAGCTGAAGGAACTCAAGTGGAAGTTGGATTCCAACCAGATGACGGTGTATGAGTATACAGACAGTGCATCGTATGTTCTTAAACTGAATTAGCATGTTAGATGATACTTTGTTCATATTTTAATGATAACGAAGGACAGTGGAAGTGAACTTTGTACATATTTTAAGTGAAATATATTATAAAATGATACGATGATTAGCATGTTAGATGATACTTTGTACATATTTTAAACATATTTTAATGATTAAGAAGGACGTTATTATTAGAATTAAGAAGTGAAATATTTTATAAATACATATGTATGAATAAAATGAACATGAAGTCTTGTGGTTGTCACCTTCCTCTGAGATTAAGGCTCTTGTATAAACACCAGAACCCATTGTTGCAAATGTCCACCCTTTTCGCACGAAGGCGAAAACGAAAAACGACCCATGTTTATACACGCCCCAAAAAGTCGCCTTCCTGCGAGTGAACAGCACCCAATTGCTGGTCTTTAGACCCAGTTGGGCAAACTGTTTGCCGTGGGTTGTGGCCCTGTGTCGGTGGAGGACGGGATTCTGGTGGTTGAGGGCACTGGGAGCCACACGTGTTCCTTTTGCCCAACTCACCACTTTGGCCCTTACTTCACCTAGACGGGTGGTAGAATTGGCCCGATTCTATCAATATGCTGGTCACGCCAAGCCCTGTGCATGGCGAGTATTTTTGCACAATTTTG